CCCCCCCAACCACCAACCCAAAAGAAGCAAAGCACGGAATAACCAGCATGAGAAGAAAAGATGGTGTTTCATTCGTTACCGTTAAACACCTGATGAAATCTTGCTCTTCTCCTTTCCGTTGCAACAAAATGTGATTGTGGAATTCTAGCGCTTCCATGGAGGTTGGCTTTTTTCAGATCAAGCGAGATATTTGAACAGATTTGGGTTCTCTTTGTCTCTTTCCAAGTATTCTCGTGTGATAAGATCTTCGATCCTCTTCTTGATTGCCTTAAAATCAGGCTGCATATCAAATTCAATACACTTAGGAACTCATATTTGCAACGGGAATCATTCTTTAACAGCTGACAACTCTAAGGGGTTGTTTGGTTGGTTTTCCATTAAGTCCTATATGGATAAAGCTTATTGTATGAATTAATCTGTCTATAGATGGAAGAAACGTGTTTTTAATTGGGAGGGAAATGTTCAAAAAAAACTTGGCTTTCTGCATAAAGCTCCCCCCTAAAAGCTTGCTGAATAAAAGCCACTTTCAATATCATTAAGCCACCACCACACAGTATTGTATAGCTGACCGAATAAGCTACGAGTCTCATTAAGCTGCTAACAATCATTTTCTTTTTGTTGGCAAAGTTTCAATCCAAAACAACAACTTCCGACCCATAATCGCTATGAAGCATTGGTATCTTAATAGTGGTCCACAAGGTTACTTTCTTGTCATTATCGAGTGTTTTAATAATAAGTCTTATCTCAAATATATGCCACAATCACCAGAAAATACGACGACTCGTCTGTTTGGAATGTTTCAGTTGAAAACTACCTCTTTGCCTACAGAATATTAACAACATCGATCTTGGTCACCAAGATCTTTCTATTCTGTCATTAATGACGGGTGGTTTAGACATTTGACTAATAGTCGAACACTTCCATTAAACTATGTAAAGAATCCTATGATGCATTCATTTGGGGATAGAAATGTAGGATAGAAATAGCCTGGGCACGTCACTTTCAGTCTAGAAGTAGCATCAATGTTTTAGAAGGCGGAATCAGGCCTCAAGATGTTTTCTTTCAACGAGGCGAGGCGTAAGCCTCGAGGCAGTCTTGAGGCTTCAGCCCCGAAACGGATATATATACACATCAAAATATGTATATATGCTACACAAATATATATACATTTATATACAATATATAAGAGGGAGATTCAGGGGAAAACCCCCAAAAAAATGAAAAACTGAGGAACACCCTGGTAACCATTCAGGGGAAAACCCCCATTGGAGATGCTTCAACACTACTAAACCCGAACTGTCTTCATTAATCATCACTATTCTTCTATGGGTCCCACCCCAACCCCATGCCCCCTCACATCAAATGAGTGGGACCTACAATCACGTATTCAGTTCTCCTCATATCATATGGTAAAACTAAAATGAAGATGCCCAAATGAAATGATTGATAAGAGGAATCAATGGCAAACCTTGAACATGCGACTTAGCTGCTCTACGCACTCCATGACAAGTTGTTGATGGCCAAGAACTTTCCGTGACTTCATTATGCGGACAATGGAAGCATCTATAGCATATCGCCGGTCCTTGTCAACATCCTCCACAACTTTCTTCCTCTCGTCCACAGGTGGCAAAGGGATCTGATTGGTGTAGAAGAAACAAGTCACACGGTATATACAGAAGAAAAGAAAAAATTAAGTGAAATGAAATAAGCAAGTTCGTAAGTGGATGCACACCCTGATCCTCCTCATCCTGTCAGTGAACTTCGAATTGAACTGGAAATGGTCGGTTTCAGAAACGGTCTTTGTGCTTGGTTCCTTGGTGAGAATCTTATACTTGGCACAGGATAATGACTGGAGTAATCTCACCACATCTTCATCAGCAAGATTTAGCTGTGTCTTGATATCTGAATAACTCAGTCTATCCGAAGCATTGAACAGCAAAAGAGCAGCCGCCTGAAAAGAACAGAAACAGAATGAATAACAAGCACACCATCAAAAGAATAGAATCACCACACTTTTCCTCTCAAATAATCACCTGGTAGGTTCCCAAAATCAGCTCTATCGTCTTCTGATCAAATTTACCGTTCACATTGCACGTGCCCAAAGAGTAGATCCATGTGAGCTTTCTATGTTTGGTTTTTGTCTGATAGAACTCCTTGAATACTTCAACACATTTCACCTAAAATCCTTAAGAACATCAGTTATCTATCTATCTCTAATAATAAATCTCAAATCACATGTCAGAAGCAGCTTACCATCTCTTCGGGTAGACTAAGATCAGAAGATTTATAACTTGGCCAGAAACCCGTAGTCAGAACAGTGACCGTCAAATCAATCCCAGGATTGGCAAAAGCATTATTGGAAAGGTAATCATTAAATTGACTATGATTCTCCTTTGCCAAAGCCAAATCGGTCACCTGGGAGCAAAGATCATAGCATGTCAAGATGAAGAAAAACATCAACCACATTATTAACACATGATAAGAACTCGGCAAGATAATTACCATGCCCTCCATCTTTGATGTGAACTGTCCACCACATTGCTGCTTTAACTTCGAGAGGATCAACCTTTCATGATCGTCGTTCGCACTCTTATCAAAAAGTAAACGCCGAGAAAGTTTTTTTCTGCTCCATATAAAATACAGAATATGGGGTTTCTTAATTTGCAGCTTTCATAAAGAAGGTAAAGATTATAAAAAAATAAAGATCTATACATTTACCTATAGAACTCTGCAAAAAGATCTTTATCGCTGATGTATGCTAGGAGCTTAACAACCTGTAAAAATCAAATCCATACCGTCAAAATGCCATGCCTCGTGTGAATCAAACGACTGTAAACAAGACCAAATAAAAGCACTAGAGGCTACCTTATCCAAAGTTTCCTCGATAGCTTCATCACTCAGCTTCTCACTACCGCCCTTTTTGAGGATATTGTCACAATATGAAGCCAGCAGCTCCGCACTCGAGCAACCAGCCACAATTTTATTGCAAAAAACCTCAAAGGCCTCTTTAAGGGCCTAAAGAAGAATCAAAAAATAGGGTAAACTTTTGCCAAAAGAATAGAAAATAAATAAACTAGATGACAAAGGAAGAGTTGACCTTGTGAAATAGTGTGTGGTTCACGAAGCAATCAGTAACATATGCCATAAACTTGTCATGCAACTCGATTATCTTCCTGACGAACACCTGAAAAGTCGACCACTTAGTTTCTGAGCAGTTAAGAGCATCTCCAACAGGTATGCTATATTTCTCTTATCTTCATCCAAATTTAGAGATTTCTTCATTCTCGCTCCTTTTTTTCTCTATTTTAGAGGGAGAGTTTAGCATAGCTGTTGGAGCCCAAATCTCCAAAGTTTCTAAAATAGCATAGTTGTTGGAGATGCTCTAACCATCTCCATATATTTCGTTCAGAGAATGATAAGCCAAGGATGTTACCTGCTCCTGGGGACCACCAACATTTTCCGCCTGTGGAAGAACAGTCATGAGCACTTGGTAAGGCAAACATACAAAACAGTAACTTATGATGAAGCAACATTCAATAACTCAGCATGTATAAGAATGGTAATGTAACACCTAACATTATGTTATTTATTATTTCGGGTGTTACAAACTCCCTCCTTACAGAAATTCTGTCCTCACAATTTAATCTTTCCTGAACAACTGGGTATGATCCACACTTTCAAAAAAATGAATGATTTATACAAAAATCGGGTTGTAATATATGGCAAACGACGACTGTACGAATAGGTCATGCCAAAATTTCTGTAAAAATACGATAGAGAAAGTTGGGTGTTATAGGTAAGTAATCATAAAAAGTGATTGCAAGGATATTTTTTTAACTTCTAATGATCTTAATTATGGTGTACTATCATTCTTTTTTGTTTATTATACAAATAAAGTATGAACATAGATGATGCAACAAGTTCTTTACTGCATTGCTCCTGGCTCTCTCCGTCACATTTCTGCTTTGCCCATATTACAACATAGATAATCCCATTACTTTTTAAATAGAATAATTTGTACACTGACAATACTAAAAGAAACAATTATGAAGACAATTATGAAGTAGCATGCCAAGTATAATCCACAAAGTTGTCAAAGGCTAGAGGCAGAAGGGAGAAGGGTTTAAAGCGTGAGCCATGAGAAGAAGTTTTTAAGGTATGGGTATTTATAGAGGAAGCTTGAAGTTCTAAGGACCTGGTAATTAATATTAGTGGTTTGACTTATCTATTTAATACTCCACCGTCCCAAAATAAGTGTCCACAATGAAAAAGGCACACAGTTTAGAGAAGTGTAATTATTACACTTTTAACGAATTTAGATAGTGCTACCTTTAATAATACAGAGTAATTATTTCTTCATCTCATAATTAAGGGTAGAATGAGGAAGTATGCACTTATTTTTTTGAAGTGGACATTTATTTCGGGACAAACTAAAATATAAATGTGAACACTTATTCTACGACAGAGGGGGTTAACTCTTTTTTTAAGAAGTCTTGGTGATGAGAAGATGAGAAAACCTATTTAATACTAGAGTTTGACTAGGTATTTAGTAACTCTTTATGAAGCATGCCTAGGTCCACAAGGCGCAGCGCCTTAGTGAGCCTAGTGAATATGCCTAGCCTCAGACTTCAAAGAAGCCCAAGGCCTTGAGCCTTATGAGCCTCAAAGCGTAGGCACGGACACGCTTTTAACAACTCTGATAATGCATCATGCTAGTACTTGAATTTGTATATATGTGTGTATTTAGCTCATTGCTAGTGCCAAGATAAATCTAGAAGTGATTACATTGCAATAAAAAGTATGAAGATGCAGCCAAGTTCATGTAATAGAGAGAACTTGATGAAAAATGCCATATAATTCAAGTTCATTAGAAACTGTGCTTACCTTGTTACTTGCAGCATCTTCAGCTTGTTGGACTAGAGCCATTCCTTCGGCGGTAACATGCTAGCACCCCAAAAATATTCAAAGCATTAGCACCGCAACAAAGATAGTAATCTATGTGATTTCCTATGAACAAAGCAATACCTGCTTGAACATATTAGCGACAGGATCCAATCCTTTGGGAATTTTTGAAAAAAGTCTATACATCCTCGAGAGATCATCCACCTATTTGTTAGTGAACATGATAACTTAGCTAGCCATCGATCATAATACTTTAGGCAAAATCCTTAATGTGAACACCAAAGTACCTTATCATCTCGAAGCAAGGTACGACATCCAGAATGCTCTTTTTCAAGCAACTGACTGCTATATATGACCAACAATTCATTTTGCACATTCTATAAAAGTAAAAAAGAGAACATAAATATGAGGTTGATGGGGTCATATTGAAATGCTACAACATCAGTACACATGCTTCCCAGATGTTAGAGCATCACCAACAGATTCTCCAAAATGAAAAATCAAAAGTTAAAATCTCCAAAGAAAATTTATATTCATCTCCAATAGCTTCTCCATTTTGGAGATTACAATATGAATTATGTTATTAAAATATTCAATACATTTCATAAAATATCATCTCTCTCCTATATACTTAATTTCAAGGATTCTCAATGGTAGAAAAATAAAAAATAATTACTCTTTCATAGGTAATCACTTTTGGAGAGTTCTCCAAAATTGGAGAATTTCACTCTCTCCTACTTTCTCCATTTTAGAGAAGGTTTTGGGGAATCTGTTGGAGCAAAAATCCCCAAAATCTCCAGTTTGGAGGATCTGATGGAGATGCTCTTAAATTTCCTATAGTAAACACATAGAACAGCCCCAAAACTCAATATGCTTGTAGTGAAAAGGCACCCAAATGTGCAACCATATCAATTAAACTTTGGTTCATATATTTGTGCACTTTCAGATAAATAGTAAGTGCAAATATTACATATTTACTCTACTAATGTTTCAACCATCTGTAAACAACCGAAGATTTCTAGGAATTTCTCAAGCTAAAAACATACAAAAATATGCAAAAGCAAGAAAAATCATGGAAATCGCAATTAAACTATAAAATTATTAAAAAGGCCAACACCATGTTCTGGTCATTGTTCGATGGCCTAACCCTGAAATTCGTATAATCCATTACTTTTGAAACTTTGAACATATATCAGAAAAACTAACCTCCAGGAGCTTAGGTTCACTGCTGGAATGCAAATAGTGAGAGACTCTCTCTTTTTCCTTTCTTAAACAATCCTCAGCCTGTTGAAAATCAATCAAACAAGATAAAACATATACATAATATGACAATATTAACAGTGATAATGATGAAGAGCAATAACAATTGAGGCCATTATCAAAAATGGCAACTGCAGCAATGGCAGTAAAAGCTTAAAGTAATTACCTTCAACATGTAATCAGGACAACAATCTTCCACTATCCAATTTGATGCTTTTCGAGAATAATAAGCAGCAGAATCAGTAAGCATATCAGTTTCAAAGTCATTTACATAGAAATCCATCTGTCCCATCCCTATCTCCACGTATATATCAAGAACATTTTTCAACAGTGCTCTATCAATCTGCTCGCCTTCTCGTTCTTGATCGATCTGGATCACAAGCATTCTTAATTCAAATTTTGCAAAGCACATAAAGAGATGGTGCATGAGCAAATAAAATAACTTACAAGGGCAATAACAGCATCTCTAGCTTTACCCTTAGTCTCCTCATAAACCTGTACTTCAAAAAAGAGGAAGCATTAGAAACCAAAACCTATGGTGAATTATGTGCTCAAATAAATACAAGGTGGCAACAGCACAAACCGATTCACGGAAACAAGTTAGACCAACTTCATTCAGTGCTGGCAGGGACCTCCGAGCAATGAAATAACGATCAAGATAATGGAAAAATCGTGAAAGCCACCTGACCATTACTTTATGATTCGCCCATCGTTTCACAAGCTCCCGCAACATAAACTCATCATGTTTCTCTCTTAATGATGGCAACACCTTAAGAATGATGGCAAATGCAGTAGTGAGAACCAATACGTAATCAAAGTACATAAGCCAGTGACTTGCAGATTGAAGGGGTTGCGAATGTCAAATAAACCAAGCCAAATCATCCCAGTATACCCCACACAAGGCAGGGGTCTGAGGGGTGCAAATATTGAAACAACACGTGATATATACAACACACTAGATGGGCTTCTATTAATGATAATCAAAGGACATTAATTGTGAAATAAAGAAAAAAAAAACATACGTTAGCATAACATATATAAGTGGTGGTAGTTAATGGAAAGTTGCATGCATTGTCTACCTTAAGATGGATTTCATTGTTCTGTATATCACAGCCACTATTTTTTATTACTGAAAACGAGGATTGTTATCATAGATGTCAAAATCATAAGATCCATGGTCCAGTTGTACTTCGTTCTGTGAATTGTACTTCGTTCTCTGAAGCAAATTCCAAACGAAGTACAACTGTACCATGAATCTTATGATTCGAACATTTATAATAATCATCCAATTGTTTTTCAGTAATAAAAACATAGTTGCCATGCCATGATATACATTACGGTGAAATCCATCTTAAGGTAGACAATGCATGTGACTTTCCATTAACTACAACCACCTGTATATGTATGCTAACGTATTGTTTCCATCTTCATTTCACAATCCACGACCTCTAAATATTATTATTAGAAACCCAAGCATTTTGTGTTGAAAGCAAAACAAAAAAAAAAAAAAGGTTTACCGTTGAACTAATATAATCTTCAAATGCTTCCCTGTATTTATCATACAGCTGTTGGGAGTAGTCATGTGGAGGCTTTTGAGTACACATGTTATAGATAGTGCTTTATGCAGAGTTAAGAAAATAGAGTAACTCAAAATTTTGACTAATGCAGAACATAATGGCGTAGAAGCTATCCAGGGGAGATGAAACATTATAAAAAAAGTAAATGGATCTGAGGGAGGTAAGGATACGTGTATAGCATCATGTACTCTTCAGAGCTAAATTGTGGTTCTGGATGCCCTTCCAAAATTTTCTTCAGCTTCTTTATCCCAGTCTGCATGAAATTCCATCCTTCGTCCAACTCGATGGTCTTCATTTGGGACATAGTCATTATAACACAGCTCCTTCAGAAAAGTATAAGCCAAATGAGGAGATTTGTTCCATCAGAAAACTATTACACAAGATCATAATCTGATAATAGAATATAATTGAATATCGGAAACAGAAGATGACAAGTTTCAATACCGACATTTATAGCACAAAAAGAAAAAGACTATCCATCTATTCCGACCTTTGAGGGACTAATATCCCTTTTGCAACCTTTATCCGGAAAAAGAACATTCCCTTGCAACATGCTAACACAGCCTAATTACTAACCTCCTTGACGATTTTCTCTAGAGGGGGATTTTCTTTCCGAAGCACATAACAAGGCTTTGCTGCTTTTAAAGTGGTAAAATAAATTGACAGAGAAACACAACGGCAAGAAGATATAACATGTTTCAAATAGACAACTAGCCGCAAAATTGTGGGTTTGAGCTCAATGAGTTCTCCTAGAATGAAAGGTTAGATGCCATATTAGAGTGAATACACCATGATGAATCCCAGGTTTATACACTTTTGTGAATGATTCAAGAAATTTCCCACACAAAATCAGCCATCATTTCTCCTGGTAGCATATAAAGACGTTTTGGGACATCTTAAAGAAGACTAAGGATCATCCCTATCCTAGATCCTTGATTCCAACTGTAATTGGAAGTCCTAGATGAACCACAATCTCATTTATTAAGTATAAATAGGATCCCTTAGCTTAGATTTAAGCTATATGTTCATGCATGGTAATTATCGATAAGAAGCACTAATCAATGAGAAAATACTTGACCCTAGGTCCAAAGAATTGCCTTCCTTAGTCACACTTCTGGTGTTGAAGGTTCATACGGTCTGGTTTGCTGATCCAAATTCTCAAAGTTGATTATTAGCAGATACACTGGATCTAAAGAGTGTGCTACGCTTCACACAAGCAAGGAATTGCATGTCGGGTCATGGAAGTTTAGAGGGTGTCAAGACAAAAGATGGGGTTTAATGTGATCTTTTCTCGAAACATGTAAAGCAAATGAAGTTCAGTTGCTAGATACCAAGAATGGTACTATAGCAGAGATAGGGCAGAATGCTATTGTTTGAGATGGGCCATGGATGTTATACAAAATTGAAGGTATACCAAGTGTCAAAGTCCCAAGGTGCAAAGCACATTAGTGTTAAAAAGGAAACTCACTTTGATGTGTCTTGGAACTAGCTTTTCACTTTATACATTCAAGAAGGGGAAAAAAAGTGTAGGCTTATGCCCCTTTATAGTAATCATGCACTTCCATGCTAGGTGAAACAATGACTTTCCTCGTACTAGTGTAGCCTTGCATTCCTTGGTGTCCAAAACAGAATCAGCTTATCCTTAAACACAAGCCGTGTAGACTTGCACCCGAAATTTTTGGCTTTCCCAAGTCCAAACAATAATTTTTGTTTCTCAACCAATCTCTCTATGTTTACATACATTTGTCATATTAGCCTTTTCTTGCCTTGAGCATTGTGAAAAAACAGATGTTTTAGTGGGATGTTGCTATGCCATTGAAGGTTATTGCTTTTCTAAAGAACAGCAAAGAAAATCTCACACACATCTTCAAATAGACTCAAATTCACAACCTAAGGGTTGCAACTTGTTTCATAAATTCGGCCAAAAGCCACTTGGTACAACTTTTGTGGTCTCTGGCTTCCTATAATCATTCTTCTTGTGTGCTTCCCCCCCCCCCCCCAAAAAAAAAAAGATTACTTGTTATGTGTTTTGTTCCATTTTGGACTTACCGTCTCAGTGACTTATATTCCTTGCTATGAGTTATCTATGAATGTGGATACTTCTCCGCAACCAAAATTATCCCCAAAAAATGTAATCATCTAAAACAGGCATATCTTTCCTGATGAATCTCAAATAATTCAAAACCTATAAACAATCCTTTCAAGTCAAACAATAAGGGGGATCGACGTGGGTGGCTTTTTGAAGCTTTGTGAACAAAATAAATCACAAACTATATAGCACCCCCATCATTCATACCTATAGCCTCCCCAACAATACTTCATATCCGTACAGATACAAGCAAGAAACCCAAGCTCACAAAACAATTATTTCACTAAATTTTTCACAAACCCTAGCTTACTACATGATATGGTTTTTCTACGATAAATATATTCACGACATCCAAGCAAACCAATCAAACACACAAAATCTCCAAAACAGGAATAGAAACAAGATTTCCCGATCAAGCAGAACAGTGAAATCAGATTACGACGAAGCATAATAATTGCTTTCAATCATAAAGCAAGTGAACAGAGTGATGATCTCGATAAGCACCTGCGATTTTAGAAGATGCCGGAGGAAAACAACCGGAGATCAAGAATCGGAAAAGGGTTATCGGCGATTGAGGGGAAGTTTTCAGAGGGGGGTTAGGCGGAGTCCACCCAGCTTTTGTTATGTAAAAATTTCGGGTGCAAATTTGTTGTTTTATAACTCGAGATATTTAGCCGCCTTGTGACGGTGTTCTTTCATTCCTTTTGTTTTTTTTTTTTTTACCAAGGGATCTTAAAAAATCTTTTTCTAAGGGGTTTTTTTTGTCGGTGATAATAGTTTGATACAAAATGATTAGATATTCATGATGATTAAAAGGTTTTTATGATATAGTTCAAAATAAAATATAATTATTTGGTAATTGTTTACAATGAAATTATGACGTTTAATAGTTAAATGAGGGCAGGAGGCTCATGATACAAAATCATTCGGAGAGTTTTAGTTCGACTCGAAAGATCTTTCAGTGACCAATCGTACTGAACACAACCCTATGATATGAGTGAAGGCGAGCAAGGAAAGCACCATGAACTCATAGGGTGAAAGTGAGGAAGCTTAAAATTTTGTTTGCAGAGGTTTCTGAACAAGAGTTTTGACTAGGTAGATTTGCCCTTCTAGTTGACTTCTTCTGCAGGGCTACTCATGCACCTGGAGCAAGCCACCTCGATGTCGACTGATCACATCCTGGGGTTGAAGAAGGTCCCAAGGGTTCGGTTGTTTGCTGGTTCAAGTGGTACGTGGGTTGGGTTTAGAACGTCGTGAGACAGTTCAGTTCCTATCTACCGTTGGTGTTAAAGGGAGAACCGTGAAAAGGGGCATGTAATCTTCCTCCCTTCAACAAAAACAGACAAAAAACTGGGCCTACGACCCAGTTGTACACTCCCTTCGTTCTACGAACCCTTGTTGATTCTGAACTTCGTTCGCGAAGGCACCGGGCTTTTGACGGGCCAGCCCTTTTTTATGCGCCGTTTTCCCAAATAAGCTTTGCTCCACTGGGTGCCAGGTGCTTTCATGGTTCGCGAGAAGGAAAAAGAACTCATCATTTGTTGCATCTGGCAGGTTCTACCATCGCGGGGACAAATCATGGTAAAAAAAAAGAGTTTAATCTTGGCTCATAAGAAACGCTAGCTATATGCTTAACACATGTAAGTCGAACGTTGTTTTCGGGGAGATGGGCTGAAGGAAAAGAGGCTCCCATTAAGAGGCAAAAAAAAAAATGTCAAGCAAAATTCACCTATTAACGATTCAGATACTGCATCTTAGTATAACTATTAAGAGGTAAACAAACAACCCTTAATAGATATTAGGTATTGAAAATCTTAAAAAATATTACATTTACCTTTGACAATTATCTTATTCTAAGGCGACATTTAATATGCAGACATGGTTGGACTGCGTTGTACAAAACAAGATGGTAAAACTGAATAAAATAAATGTTTGTCTGGTGTTTTATACGACTTAGACTTCATAGGACAAAACCTATACAAGTTGCCATCAAAAGTTATTGGTGAATTTATGTATTACATAATAGTTATAATTAACATAATAAAGTAAATAATTAAATAATTTATAAACATTTTTACATAGTTTTCATCTATACTATATTATAAAATATTTGACAAAAACTCTTAAAACTCATTTTTATGCATAAAATATTGTTTATTTATGCATGTTATTTAAAATTCAATATTACAATTAAATTGTGCGTATGTATAACTTATCAAAACTCCATGTTTGAATTTGTGTAACTAACTGCAGATAAACATAACCAAATACAAGGCAAACATCTCATTTTAAATATAAAAAATCTAAAATATAATTAGGATAATCATTGAGTTTTAATAAAATACTTGATTTTTTTATTAACCTGGATTTTGAATTAGCTTATGAGAATACCAAAACATAATAAGCTGATAAGTTGTTATTTTGTCTTTATAAAAAATTATATTACTTTGTTATTAAACCATATTAACTTTTAAATAGTTAATTTAATATTAATATCGATATATTTTTTTCAAAATTTTATGGTATCTTCAAATTTATATTTTATTCAAAAAATAAAAGCATTATTGATTTCTCAACCGACATAAAATTTAGGGCTGTAAACGAACCGAACGAACACGAACGGAGGCTTGTTCATGTTCGTTCGTTTAACTTAACCGAATAAACGAACGAACACGAACGGTAAACGAACGAAAATCTTTGTGTTCGTGTTCGTTCATTTAGAAATAAGGTGTGTTCGTGTTCGTTTATGTTCGTTCGTTAACATGCTAAACGAACGTAAACGAACGAACATAAACGAACGGCCTAAACGAACATAAACGAACGAGCTAAACGAACATAAATAAATATTATTTGAATTCTAAGTAATTAAATAAAAGATTGTATATTAAATTTAATATATAAACGAACATAAACGAACGTAAACGAACGATAAATGAACGAACGTAAACGAACGATAAATGAACGAACGTTCACGAACGGTAAATGAACGAACGTTCACGAACGGTAAATGAACGAACGTTCACGAACGGTAAATGAACGAACGTTCACGAACATAAATGAACGAACGAGACTCTTGTTCATGTTCGTTCGTTTAACTAAACGAACAAAAAAATTTGTTCATGTTTGTTCATTTATTAAATAAACGAACATAAACGAACTTCCCGCCGAACGGTTCACGAACGGTTCGCTGAACGTTCGGTTCGTTTACAGCCCTAATAAAATTGTATTACAACAGAGACATAATAAGATGAAACATTAAAATCAATATGTATTTTCTTCCATTATGCTAGTACCCTTCTAGTATACATAAAAACATATGTATGTAGAGGAGCGTTCAAATGAAAACCGCTTCCATTTGTGTAAACCGTGTAAACCAATCTCATCAATTCATTTTCTTGATCAATGGTCAATATTAGTTTACTTTATTTTAGGAAATTAAAAAAAAAATATTAAAATTTTATTTTTATATCAGCAATAAGGGCAAAATGGTAAACAAAAATACATATTATGTAACATCATATTGAAGGACATTATTTTTTATTTTAGGAAATTAAAATTTTCTATTTGTTAGAAAATAATTTCGCTAATGCAACAGCCTTTTTATTATTTATCATGAAATTGTTTCAATGTCATTCGTAATGTTGCAGTATAATGAGACATTTTGATTTATCAAGGTTTCAACCCGACCAACCTAACCCAACCCGTAAGATTGGGATTGTATTTTTGCTCGATTATATTTGGTTGAGATTTTTCAAACAGCAAATATTGGGTTCAGTTGTTTAGATGTCTTCGACTCGATCAACTCAATATATATTCATGCCTAATCTCAATACATTTTTTTTTCGAAACTACTATACATTCGACCTAATTGACGAAAACAATTAAATTTTATATATTTTAAACCTCTTTATTTTTTTAATTTTTATATCAACATGGATATTTAATCCGTTATGCGAGTTGACTAATCTCAATTTCAAATCCAACGAGGAATAAAAATCCCCTTGTAGTCATGAAAGTTTAAATACAGTGAATTTGGACTACGTGCAAAGCAGATATTATGTATTTAACGACGGAGACTCGGAGAGTGACACCAATTCATACACCAGTTTTATTTTAAATGTTCTCATTTAATAAATTAATATATAATCTATACTATATTATAAAACATTTGAGAAAAATTCTTAAAAATAATTTTTTATACATAAAATATTGTTTATTGATGCATATTATTTGAAATTCAAGATTACAAGTAGAATGTACATGATTACATCTTATTAAAGCTCAATGTTTGAATTCGTGTAACTAAGTGCAGATAAACATAATCAAATAAATGACAAACATCATTTTAAATATAAACAATCTAAAATATAATTAAGATAATCATTGGGTTATAATGGAATATTTAAGTATATTCTTAAAAGAAGTATTTTAATAAATCAAACATAAATTAGTTCGTTATTAAAGTTCAATTTAATAGTTAATTTGATACTAATATCGATATGTTTTTAAAATTTTATAATATCTTCAAATTTACATTTCATTCAAAAATGAAAACATTTTATTTTTCTCAAAACCACATAAAATTGTATTATAACATCAATAAACCCAAAATATAAAAAAACATTAAAATCAAAATGTATCTCGCTATATTACATGATTATCCTTCTAGTATTTTCTAAATTTAAGTATTTAAAACGCAATAGCTTATGTATTTTATTTTTTATTCTCTATATTTCTAACAACACCCTTCTCTTATTAGCCTTTATGGTTTTTTATATATATATTTTTAATAAATTAACAAATTTTATTATTTATTATGCATTGAATTATATTATTATATGAAATAAACATTCAATTAGATGATAACGTTATATTATTAAGCAAATTTGAAAAACAATATATAGAGAGAGACTTGGGATCATATGATATAAAATTGTTTTTGTGAGACACGATTTTTCCACTTGAAACTTTACAACAAAACATCGTGAAATTTACCTTCACAGTATTTTTGCTATAAGATTAGGCTTTTTTTTTTACCTTCACAACATTTTTTTGTGAAGTTTCAAATATATAAATGATGTATCACGAAAATAGTCTTGTCTCACATGAACCCAACCCTATATATGTGTGTGTGTGTTGTTGTTCAAATGATAAATGATTAACTTGCAATGATGCGATAATTAACTTCAACATATCGTTTAATCTATATATTATATTATAAAGCATTTGACAAAAACTCTTAAAAATCATTTTTTATGCATAAAATATTGTTTATTGATGCATTTTACTTAAAATTCAAGATCACGGGAAATTGTGCATAAGTACAACTTATTAAATATTCATTTTTTAATTTATGTAACTAACTGTGGGTAAACATGATCAAATACGGGATAGATATCTCATATTGAATATAAAAAATCTAAAATATAGTTAGAAAAATCATTAGTTATAACAAAATACTTAATTATTATCTTTATAAAAAACTATATTATTTATATAAAATGTTAATGTCTTGAATAACTTAACCGATGTTAATCGTATCTTTAACGTTTTGATATAATTTTTAATGGTTAAATTCATATGTGAATACATGAGCATACAACTACGAGAGTTGTGAAGTAGTGGCTGAGATCCTGAGGATTGTGGTGGAATATTCAATCTGTCTAGTGTTCGATTCTAAACGTGCACAACAATTGTGATTATAATGAAATATATATTTTTTATAGCGAAATATGTTATTACAAAGTTTTCGTCAAGACAACTAAAAAAAACGTAGTTCTCATTTTTTATTTATAACTCTTTTATATTTTTTTATTAATATTTAATAAATTACATAAATTAACCAAAATATAGATACTGTATAGAAATAATATTTTGATGACAGTAAAATGAAAGTTTTAAAACTATAAGATTCAATAAAAGAATAGATAAAATGTGAAGAGGGATGCTTATTTGATATTATGTCGGTAAAATACAGGTTTGTTACACTTTGTTCTATGGAGTGGGGTGAAACACATGTACTCCACTTTGTTTCATCGTACATGCCAGTTTTGTTTAAAGTTTATGCCAAATACGAAACAACAATATATATTTATGATATGTTACTGTCCAGTGTTACACTATTAGCTAACGTTGGTACGCATACATGATTCGACAGGACCAAACAAAACATAACAGGATTGGACAGGCCATGACAAGATGATAGGACTGAATGGGGCAGAACTAGACATAAAAAGTATATGTCTAGTGTTTTGTACGACTGTGACCGGATATGAAGAACTAAACAAGTTGCTCCAAAAGTTATTTGATGATTTTATATACCATATAGTAGTCAGAACTAATACAAATAAAGTAAATAATTTAATTTGTAGACATTTGTACACAATTTTCATATACATAAATACATACATATATAATAGTACCAAAATTGAATAAAAGTTTTGATGTAATTGATGATAGTCTGAACCGAATCATACAAATGTGAAATTATGTTTTCGGTTTAAAAGATCCTTATAAATTGGTGTAGGCACAACAAAGATTGTTGCAACAACAATGGTTGTAGAGGTAGAAACATTGGTGATTGGTGGAGGAGGCGACTATGGTGGATAGTGGTGGTGGTAGCATCGACCGCGTTGGAGGAGGTAATTGTTGCTGGTGTGGTGGAGGTAGCCGGTGGTGGTGGTGGGTATGGTGGAAGTAGAGGTGGTTATGGTGGAAGTAGAGGTGGTGGTTGTAGTCGAGAAGGTTGAGATGGCCGACGGTGGAAGTGGTGGCGGCGATAGACGGTGGTGGTTGTGGATCAGGTGACGAACGTTGGTGGTTGGTGGTAGACGGTAGTTGTGGAGGTGGTTGTAGTAGTGGAGGTGGCGGACAATGGCTACCAGTGGAGGCGGTAATCGCGACTAGCAACAGTGACCCCTAAAACAAATACTATATTAAGATTATATATCAAACTAAAGTTAATTAGTAATATATTAGTTGTTATCCTGCCCCATATCGCGTCAAATGTGACAAAGTTTTGTTATGTTTTGTCTTGTCTTATGTATCAAACGCAACATTAATATGTTTGAAAAAAAAAATAAGAATAAAATAAAACTATTTTATTTTTATTTGATATTTTTTATCATTAGGAAGGTAAATGGAGGATAAATTCCGTATCCGGCTCCTCGTCCATGACTCTCTACTCTCGCGATCACCGAAACAAACCGTTCTCTTCCAAACCCTAACCCTAACCAACCAGAAAGGGCAAGCTACTTCAAATCGATCAACTTCAAATTTCGAACCAGAAACCGAATTACTCTCACAATCATGTTGATTTAGCTCTGTGAATTATCCAGAGATGGCAATATCGAACGCGAACCATCAGCTTGCTCTGGTAGTATCCTCGAACACAACCACGTCGTATGAGGGGCTGTTGGAATCTCAGAAAGAACTATTAAGCAAACAGATCTATGAGCTACAAAACATCGTTTCGAAGCAATGCAAACTCACCGGCGTCAATCCTCTTTCTCAAGAAATGGTGCGTACGGACTCCAGTTTTGTTTTTTTTTATATGATGGAGCTGTAATTCGTTCTAATTTTGGCTGTTGCATCTGTTCATACATAATACACGGCTCAAAAGCGGTAAATTAGGCGTCACTGGCTAAGAAATATTTTATTGAGATTTGAATTATAAATATTTTCTATTTTCGGAGTTCTTCCTTATTTATGTTTTCAGATGTCAACTGAAGGGCACTGTTAGATATGAAATTGGAGAGAGAAGGTAATGTGTAATTGAATTATAGGAGGAAACTTAAATTGATGCCTCCATAGCACAGGACGGGGTGGTGGTAATCTTTGACATGCTGTTCGATTTGAGAAGAAGGTTGCAAGTGATCCAAATTGACCAAATAGATATATCTTTTTGTTACAGGTTGCAACTGCTATGCAGCTTTGTAATATAGCAACAAAATATTAGCAAACCAATTGTAAAACAGCATTTACCTTTGTTGCACAACATTTTTCAAGCAGGTAGTAATCATTTGACAGCATATATTATGCTGATCCTGTATTTTGTGATTTATGTGCAGGCAGCAGGTGCTCTTTCTATTAAAATCGGTAAGCTTCCTATTTGTTAGTTTGTTACTGATTTCTGATAGAACAATTTTGTGAAATAGTGTCATCTTCTATACCTAGTTTGAACTGCAGTTCTGACTAAGCTCTCATTTGACATCATACTCTCTCGAGATTTCCAAACCCCAAGAGAGGCTATTGCTTTTACATGGCATGGGTTACCAGTCTAACTTTTGAACCATTTCTGTCTATTTGGATGTTAACTCTATTGTGCTTTTAATCAGTTCTCTAGCATGTCGATACTGTATTTACTCAGGTACTATATGGTTGTATACTTGTATTGTATTAAGATACAAAAATTTTCGTTGTAAATCCCCTTCCTCAGGTTAGCCACTTTATTGTAGACCATAGATGTTCCATTCAAGATGGTTTCTTGTACATTCACCTTTGATAAGTGTACTAAACTCTTGGTCCTTGTACAACCTCTTAGAGTTATTGCTATTGTTGAAGATTTATATATATAGCAGTAGTAGAAGTTCTGCAGGAGTTTACATTGACAATTCGTTGCCTTCCTTATTATTTTAATTTCAGGGAAAAGACCCAGAGATCTACTGAATCCAAAAGCAATAAAATACATGCAATCAATTTTTTCTGTCAAAGACGAAATCAGCAAGAAGGAAATTAGGGCAATTAGTGCTCTTTTTGGTTTGACAGCCACACAGGTTTCTTTTTTAATTTGTTATTGCATTTTCTATTCTGTCTTCATCATTTCATTTTGTAATAAGTTGATACAAGAACAGTCTGTATCTGAGTGTTTTTAGTTACTCTACGAATTATGGGGAAGTTATGTTGACTGAATCCTTATTGTGTTAGTTTTGGGTGTTTGAGGAGCCTGGAGTTAACTCTAGTGTTTGCATTATTTTTGTTTATTATATACCATAATAGCATTTAAGTTTGCATTTGAAGTAATTTGTATCACTCAACTCCTTAATACTTGATTTGATCTATGCATAAATTATAAGGTGAGGGACTTCTTTACTGGTCAACGCTCAAGAATTCGGAGATTTATCCGATTGTCGAGAGAGAAGGCAATCCAATCTGCTGAAGATGTTCAAGAGCAAGATGGGTCATTGAGCTCTAATCTGGATGCCCAGAACCACCCAGTTCCCTTGAACTCTATGGGTCCCCCCAGTATTGAAGCACCTTCTTGTTCCACACAAGATGAGGTGTTGCCTGACACAGATGACTCGGATAAGTATTTTATTGATAATATTTTTAGTCTGTTGCGGAAAGAAGAAACATTTTCTGGACAAGTCAAATTGATGGAATGGATCTTGCAGATAAAGAATGCTTCAGTGCTCTATTGGTATTCATATATCATTATCCACTGGCCCATCATTGTCTGTTGACTAAAACCTTTATGATTTAATCGTCCTCCCAATTGCAGGTTTCTAACAAATGGAGGTGTGATGATTTTAGCCACGTGGCTGAGTCAAGCAGCCATCGAAGAGCAAACAACTGTTCTTCACACCATTCTTAGGGTACATATTTTTTCTAAAATATTATTGTTGCATCTTACTTACTAGTTAATATGTATTTCGTTTACTAAATGGACTCACCTTTAGGTACTCTGTCACCTGCCATTACATAAATCTCTCCCAGCGCACATGTCAGCTATATTGCAAAGTGTCAACAAACTTCGTTTTTACCGGGGTCCAGGTGTGTTTCTTTTGCTTGGTGTAATTGATTTATTGCGTTCTTTTCCTGCATGTGGTTGTGTATGTTTGTTGGGTACAGCAAAATCTCAATTATATCTGGGGTAGGGTGAGGTTAACTGAAAAATTAATCTTCTTCCGGGTACTAGGCGTATAAGGTATCTAGTTTCATGCATTTCCAAGGGTTCCATTCTCACTGCTTTGGTTGTATCTCTTTTTGTTACGATCTCTGCTATTTTTCTTGCCTGTGTTTTGTAAGTCACATAGTTAGCGCAATGGTTGTTGTATGTGATAGGATGAAAGCCGGAAGGAGAGTAAATTCTATCCTGTTATATAAAACTATTTTATAGACAAGTAAATCAAATATCTAGACATGGAATCTTTTCATACTCCACCTATTAGTTAAAATTTTGTATGTTACAGTCCTTTCTGCGGAAGAAGAGTTTATGTATTCTGTAGTTTTCTTTCTTTGCAATTTTTGTTTGAATCTCATTATCTGATTTGAAGACCAGATATCTCAAACAGGGCAAAAAGTCTGTTGTCTAGATGGAGCAAAATGTTTGCAAGAAGCCAAGCTATGAGAAGGCCCAATGCCAACATTTCTCCGGTTGATGCACAGAATGAGATGCTGCTGAAGCAAAGGCAAGCCTACATATGTGTTTCGGGTTGTGCTTAAAATCCTACCATCGGTTGTATATTGATTGCTGTTTTTTGGTGTTGTATAGCATTGGTGAAATTATGGAAAATGAATCGTTGGAGGCGAGAATTGACAATTCTGTAAGTTCAAGACTTCAAGTCATATGGCCCCCCCTCTCTCTCCCCACCTTACTCACTTTGAGTTAAATCCTTCATCCTAAAAGGAAAATTACTTTTGATTTAAATATCTAAACGTAATGCTTTTTAAGCTCAATTTCACATTTTGTTAAACTTGTCATCAGCAACGTGTTTCTATTTTATTGCTCTACACATTCAGTTGTAGCTATAGCTTTTCTCACGCAGCTTTTAATAGTTTTCAAATTTGAAGTTAAAAATAATTCATTTGACACTCAAAATTCAATCGTTGTGCATTTGAATTTCTAAAAACCTTTTTTGTAAATGCTTGATTACATTGTGTATTTGTTAGTTTCTTAAAACTTTTTTCTCTCTTAAATAGGGAGCACCATACTTATTGCAAGAGAACTCGGAGAACTCCAGGTATGAATCAATTGTTATGATCAAGTTCAGATGCAATTTTGAGTGCATAACTCAAATTCTTGAATTACCTGCACAGAAATTTGGGGTCTTCACAGTCGATCAAATTGCTCACAGCACCTTCTGATGAGTCTAATATAAAGCTTCTTAGAGGTGTATCTCGTATCCTTTGGTTTTTTATGCGTTTTCTAATTTATACTGATATCTTTAGCAAAAAATCTAGCATCTATGACAGGTGAGATAAGAAAGAGCGAGTATTGCTGGTTAGGAAACTGATAGAACAAATATAGAAGCCTTGTACATGCACACTTGAGTATGAATTGGTTAGTTAACCGATGAAAACTCTCTCAAACAAAAACCTTCCAAATCTATACAGACAGATTATCCACACATAAAGCTTTATCCATACAGAAGTTAATTGAAAATCAACCAAACATCCCCTAAATTTGTTTGTCTATTCTTCTTGGACTCCCCTACATGATTAAATAACTTCTCATATCTTGCTATGCAAGAGCTGAGGCTGTAATTATTAAAGAAGTATTTTAAAACAAATCAGAGAAGAAAGAACATGCTAAATAAGCGATTAAGGGAAAAAATGACAAACAAGTGGAAAGCAAGCTACGTGAGAATGGAAAAGGGGAAAAATGCTAAAGCAGATAAAAGCTTTGGCAATATAGAATGCCAAAAGAGGTCATACATTAAGATCCGCGCCTGTTTGTTAGCACCTTAATGAGCTTAGTGGGGCTCGAGGCTTATTCGCTCAGCTATTCATTACTGTTTGGTAGTTTCTTAATGATTTAGAAAGTGGCTTATCTAGTAAGCTCATAGGGTAAGCTTTATGCAGACGGCCAAGTTTTTTCCAAACCTGCCTCTCCAATTAAAAAGTACGCTTCTTCCATCTATGAAAAAACCCTCCCAAACAAAAATCTTCCCGATCCATACAGTCATACAGACAGATTAATCCACACAGACAAATTTATCCATACAAGACTTAATGGAAAACCAACCAACAGCCCCGAAGTCTCTATTACCACATAAAGGTAATTATTGGCTAGCAAGGTGCAGATTGCCTTAAATTCTGGTTTTGCCTAAAAAATGTGCCCCACCTTAGTTTGCATGCACTATCGAGGGGAACGGCATATACCATATAGCGGAAGTTCTGCAACTTGGCGCAAAATTGCCCTTGCAAACTATAATTAAGGAATACGAAAGTATGTACAGTTATTGCCTTAACTAGGTTTCAGATACCAGAGAGCGAAGAAAAGTACAGCTTGTGGAGCAACCTGGCCAAAAAACAGCTGGCCGAGGTCCACAGGTTACAAGAGTGGTTTCTACAACTCAGGGCCGTCCACTTTCAGCCGATGATATCCAGAAAGCCAAAATGCGGGCCCAATTCATGCGGAGCAAGTATGGGGAAAGTTATGTAAACCCTCGAGTGAAAACTGAAGTCTCTCGGGCGGCCTCCACCTCTCAGGCCGCCATGACACCCCCATCCTCTAAAGCAGCTCCTATTCATCCTAAAGTCGAGGAACCTGCTACTTCCACTTCCGGCATGACTCAGTCTGCCGCTAAATCTGACTTTCAGCCCAAAGCCGAAGAACACAAGAAGCCAGCAATACTTGCATCTGCTGATGAAGTGCGGGAAGCAACGGTTTTTGGGAAGGGAAATATGGAGTTGGAGGAACCTGTGTGGAAGAAGTGTAAGAGATTCCAGATCTCATGGGTGAATCCACCAGGTACATTCACTTCAGAAATTCCTTTGTTCTTTCTTTTCTGTCTTAATGGAAACAGCCGCTCTACTCTTGGGGATAGAGGTCGGGTCTGCATACATCCTATTGTCCCTAGACCCCACCTCCGAGTGGGACATACTGGGTTTGTTTGGTTTGGTCTGTTTCTCGTTCTTTTGTGGAGCTAACTGTTCACAGGTTCAATGGAGAATGCGTTGATTGTCGTATAGATGCTTCTGCTCATGGTAGAACGATGCCAACTTTCTTTAAAATGAAATCCGTTTTAAATATGTTTCTATACTTGCCTGTAGCAAGCTTAGCTACAGGTACGAGAAAAGGTTTTTGCCTGAAAGTAGGCACACGATCACACAAAGATCAAATGGGATTTTTAGAACTAGCTATCGTCATATTCCACGTGCGAAAGAGACCACCAATTCTTAATTTTCCATGACCTTGACAGAGTTGCAACGAGATTTTCATTTTAGGCCATTGATGCCAAGTTTAGCATGATCACTTCGTAACGGTGTTAGTGATGGCTGTACGATTATGCATTTCAATAGAAACCAAAGCATGCTAGTAGCGCCCATCAGCATACACAATTTCTACAAGGAAACCAAATGGTGATCTAACACATGCATTTTGTGTGTTCGTCACACTAAAAAATGGAGGCCTAAAAACTGCATTTAAGTAAACACCAAATTTTATCTAGTGTTTTCGACTTCCATTTTCAAAATCGAGCCTCGAGGCAAGGCGGAAATACACCAAAATATGTATATATATTTCACAAATATATATACATTTGTGTGTGTATATATATGTATAAAATACTAAATTACTAAGAGCTGTTTTAAAAGGCGGAATCGAGCCTCGAGGCGTTTTACCTCAACGAGGCAAGGTGTAAGCACGAGGCGGAAATACCCCAAAATATGTATATATACTTCACAAATATATATACATTTGTGTGTGTGTGTATAATATATACATATATATGATATACTAAATTACTAAGAGATGTTGGTTGTTGAGAGGGTGTAGAAAATTTGGTTGCAGAAAGTACATTGGAGCCATTGCACTTTTAACTTCTAGTTTTTAAAATACAAAAAGACTCGTACTGCAAAGACGATTACTATTACTCTATAAAGCTTATAGAAAAGTAAAAAAAAAACCGTTAACAAAGTAGATCATATGAGGTATACGTCTCCACATCGCCTCACTGAACCAAGGCGTAAGGTGCCAACTGAGGTGCGGTTTAATCACCTTTAAAACAATGCAGCTTGCTGTGTAAGACGGTGGTTTTTTTTCTTTCTGTTTGTCTACGGTGCCACTGATCAACCTTTATATTGAATTTGTCGATCGAGCACAAGTAGTGCAAATTCAAGAAACCGGGTGTTCGTAAAGGATTTAACCATCATACTAGCTTTCATCATGTGGTGAGAATTTGGGTATCTGCAGGACATTGTCGAGTAGAAAGAAAGGCTTGTATTGTGGGTATGGTAGAGAGAGAATAAACAAAACCAAACAAACGAGAGAGAGAGAGAGGGAGAGAATAACAACAAAGAAACCTGGTATATTCTGCTAGAAAACTCTCACCTGCACTCTCTTTTCAAAATGGGTGCTTTAATAAAGAATGCAAATGAAACCCTGAATTTCTATCCATTTTTTGAATCGATCTTTTTGGATGAATGCATTAAGGAAACTGTGTATGTAATTTCATTTTGCCAATGAAGACGGATGCAAATGCAATTCGACCATTCGACCATCGTAATTAATCGTTCGGTTTGTGTAGTTGTTTCTTTGGAGGCTCTTTTGTGGTTGATGCAATGCTTGTGTAATGTTCTGTGATGGTTCTTTTGGTGTTTGGTCGTATAAATGGTATCCTGTTTCCTGCAGTATCCCAACTACTGTGTACATGAAATCAACAGTGTATAATCCATCTGCATATTCATGTTCATCACCTTTAATGTAATTCATGCACATGTGAAGTTTCTGGTGAACCCATGCATTCACTAGGAGTTGTTTATCAAACGTTTACTTGCTGTGTGAGAATACAAAGGATTGAGAATTTTATCTGGTAAGGGAGAAAACTCTTATCTAGGTAATAGATGCTTACCATCAATTCTCTTTGATGGCTGAAAATGTTACCTAATAAGGTAAAGTGAGAGTTGTGACTCTTGCCAGCAAACGGCAGAGAGGGATCTAGCCTTTAAGGACCAGGGGGAAAGACCCCCAGTCAAAGACCAAAAACGTTTGCTGACTAGATTAAATTTTCTATTTTTATCTTCGTCTTACATGGTTCTCCCCCAGTCCCATATGGCCATATCCTTGCCTCCCCCAAGTTTCATCAAACATGCCCCCACTCCATTAATTTCCTGGATCCGCCACCGCTTGTCGGTAAGCGTTTGGAAATGGCTCCTTAATATCGTTTTCTGCATTGATTAACAGGGGGGACGACTAATTATGTATTCTATTTACTTTCTGGTTCATATATAAACAATACGTTTGCAAGATGCAAGAAAAGATCTTGTGATTATATGAGATATATTGTGTTGCATCACCAATGCTCGACTCATAAGCTCTGAATCACGTTCTTTGCCATAATGAGAACAAAAATAGCGTTTCGGTTTGTGTAGATTTTTGTTCGTATATTGGAACCAAATGGGTTGCGATACATGAAATGTATTTGTGGATGTGGGATTAGGTCTTAAGTTGCTCACTGTTGTCTTGTGTTTTTTGGATTCTATGCAGAAATGAAGATCGATAAGGAATGGAGTGTGTGTTCCGGAGAGAATAGCAAAGAAGTTGATGTCCAAAACAACCGAATCAAACGTGAAAAGGAAGTTTTCTATGAGAGGGTTCTTGAAATCCCGTCGAATCCCAAAGAACCATGGGACCTAGAAATGGATTACGATGATTCGTTAACACCCGAGATACCAACTGAGCAACTCCCTGATGATGACGATGATAATATGGTATCGGAGCGGGTAGGAATGACACCTACACAAATGAATATTGATTCTGATGTTGCAAGTGGTTACGCAGCCGGTACAAGTACAAACGGTGGTGACAATAACAACCGGAGCATGCCGGAGCCAGATCTTGAATTGTTGGCGGTGTTGCTTAAGAACCCGGAAATTGTTTTCGCGCTTACGGCTGGTCAAGGTGGGAATTTGAATGGTGAGCAAATGGTTAAGCTTCTTGATGCGATCAAGGCGAATGCGGCTCGTGGTGGCTCGATTGGTAGTCTTGTTAATGGGTTAGTTGAAAAGAAAGCCGAGGAGAAGGTCGAAGTTTCGTTACCATCTCCGACTCCCTCCAGCAACCCTGTAACGGTGCGTTAATTATATGCACATCGTCATGTTTTGTACAAATTTATATTCGCTTATGAAATTATCGACAAATTTTCCACGATCGAGGGGTTTTTCTTCGTGTTTTTCGCCTTTGAGAGATGGCCTTACGATCGATTAACGAACGATATTGTCACCAATCGGGTTTAGTAAGTAATTGAAATTTCAAACGGGAAGAATTGGTAAAATTGAGATTACAAATAAATTGGGATTATTCATTAAGTTTCCCCATTTTTTTGGTCGTTTTTGGGTTTTTGCTGATTATTTCCTTTTGATTCAGAGTGGATGGCGGCCGGAAAGTGCTAAAAATCAATTTTCCCGGCAAAGTATGACGGTCAACGGTGAGGCATATGCCATTCCGGCGGTCAATTTTCAAGAAACCGGTTTGCTGACTCCGGCGACAATAACCCAACAAGCATTTGCTCCGATTAACCACCAGAGATTTCCTGATTTACCCCTTGACCAAAGAAATGTTTCCGATTTTGTCCCTGACCGGAGAAGCATTCCGACAGCCGTCAGCGGTCTGCCATTCCGAGGGGCAGCGACGGCTAATTTGACCCAACAATCAATTTCTCCGTCGATACATCAGAGATTTTCTGATATGGTCCCTGACCACGGAAACATTCCGGCAGCTGGCCATGGTCCACCGTCTTCCGGTGGCTACTTTCCGTCGACACATGGCGGGTCACAAATATCATCTCAACGGCGAGTAATATCCGAGCCACGACAATCGCTGGTTCAGTCGTGGTCCGGGAGGGAAAGTTTAGGTTCAAGTCCGTATTCTCCAGCCGAGCGTAACTCAAACCTCAATACATACAGTACCCAAGAATTTATGCATCCGCCACCGGATTTACGAGCGGGTCCATCATGGGGGAGAAACGGAGGACATCGGGACGAACCCGGTTTTGAATCATGGAGCCCCGACAATAGCCCGGTTAGGTCTCATGAATACGTAGACAGTTGGGACTACTCGGACCCTCCTAACCGAAGCTACAACAACTACAGGTTGGATATGTCGGCAATGCAGCACGACCCTTCTAGGTATCGAGATCGTGGTGGCCGGAATGACGGTTCTAGGTGGCGAGATCGGAGGAGATGACAAGGAAATGGTGGTTGGATTGCCGCCGGCGATAGGTCTCCGATGATCGGTTTTTAAAGACATTAACACCTTCAAGAATTTTTTGCTGCAAAAAAAAAAGAGAAACAAATTTGAAAACTATACTTTTGTAGGTAGGCATTTGGATTAAACCATTAAAAAATCTATTCCTTTTTTCTTTTCTATTTCAATATTAGTCCAAACATAAGCCGTTTCACCTACCACTTTTTGGAAGTAAAATTCAAAACGTGCAATTGAGGGTGTTTACAAATGTATAAATACGATAAATAAAATGTTTTTAAGAAAAATATGATTTAATAAATCTATACTATATTATAAAACATCAGATAAAAATTTTTAAAAATCATTTTTTAATGTATAAATTTATGTTTAAAGATATAAATATAATATATAATTTTATAGGAGGTTTTAAAACAAGGTTTTCAAAATTTTGGGAGGATGTTAATTATGAGTTTTTGAAGGAGGCTTTCAAAATTGAGCCAAGTATATTTGTATTTGAGACTCTTGATTTATATGGCTAAAATTATATAAATCAATCTCATTGTCTATCTATTTTAATGAATATTTGATTTAATAAATATATCATGATTGTTTTATAATATAAAGAATTGATTATCATAAATAAAATATAATCAAATCTTTTATAAATATCTAAATCATGATGAATGAACTTTTATGATTTTAATAAAGGCAAATTGCATGGAAAAATAACGTAGTTTGATTCTTATTTTGGGTAACGTACTTTTAATACTTTCATTTAAGTACCCGGGTAATTGGTTATTATGCTGATATGACGAGTAATGTGGTATCCAACTGAATATTATTTGTTGACGTAGTTAGTAACATTGATTTTTTTAATCTAAAATTAGTTTTCGACCAATTATCCGAAAACTTAAAAATATTTAAAACTTTACATTTTAGATATCAAAATAAGAGTTTTTCAAAAGTACATTTCCCAAAATAAAAATAAAAATCAAATCAAACCCTATGCAATTATCCTTTTCATAAATGCTCAAATAATTTATTTGTATTAATTGTTGAATTTGTAAAACATCTGTCTAATTTTATATATAAAATTTGATAAATAGAAGTGTTATGCGCAGTGATTATTTGGATTTAACCATGGCTTGTTTTGTAAAGGAAAATTCATTCTAATTTTCATTTTTATTATATTCATTTTCATTTCTCAACCTGAAACAAACAATACCTAACTTATTCAATTTAAATAAAAAAACAAAATTACAGAGACAGTAACAAATATTGATATATAACAATCGGTTTCTTTTTACAAAAAAGAGGGAAGCACCATTAGAATGCAAAAATTGGTGCAAATTAGTGTTTGAAAGATCATTTCTGAAAAGAAAGAAGAAAAAACTGTTCCTCGTGTTCTGATTACATGGCTGCAACATCACCAGACCATTTCAAGAATTGGGCTTACTTGCTTTCGGACTTTTGTTAAGCCTGCTGAAAATCGGGTTCACCACAAGTTCTTTAGCCGATGGTCGTCGAACAGGATCAGGGTCCAACATTGCCTGAGAAACACATTGATAATTAAAAGAGACATTTATGCAATCAAGTTTTTGTGATGATTGATAGTTGGCAAAAGACCAAAGAGGTTAAAGGAATTTGTAGCATTTTATCTAAGAAACGGTTTTCACAAGTTTGGGGTTTTCATTTCTCACAACCGCTCTTGTTAGCAGATTAATGAGCTTAATGGGACACACAGTGTGTTTGGTCATGACTTAATGATATAGAGAAAGTGGTTTGTTCAGTAAACTTCTAGTGGGAGGTTTATGAAGAGAGAAAATGTAAAAACCCCACCTTGTGAACATTGTATGGAAGAGAGAAAATTAGCCCAAAAAGTTTGAGGAAAGTATTATTTTTAATAGGAAAAAGAAAAACAAAAAAGGGAAATGACCAAAATACCCCTCACTTGACAGACAATGTTTAAGGGATTTAAGTGTTAGGAACCACTTCCATACCAAAATGCATAATTTAGTAACCATTTTTGTACTTTTTATGTATCATTCATATTTTGAACATACCAAATGAACCATTTATGTAGTTTACTCTTCACTTATTCGTAATACTAAATGATGGCAAATGGGTAATTTACTTGTAATATGAAAAACCATTGGAGGGGATAATGAGTTATACCTTGAGTACATTCTGAAATTGCACTGAATGACCAGGAAGAAGAGGGAGTTTCCCTTCTCTGAGATTTTGAAAATATGGTCCAGATTCCGGCAAGGTTGAACCCCTTATAAGTTCGTAAATAGTAGCTCCAAGGGAGAAGATATCAACTTTGTCAAGATGATCATAATTATCATTCAAGATTTCTTGAGGCATGTATCGTGCATCACCTTCTTCAATCGCTAAACTTCCGTCAAGTAGACTTGCACAACCGAAATCACCAAGCTTGTAAACACCATTCTTCACATATATATTTTCAGGCTTTACATCCAAGTGAACTATCCCTTTCTCATGGATAAATTGTAAAGCCTTGGCTATCTGTAACCAAACCCGCAATTATAGTGTGATTAAAAGTTCAAAAGATTTGTCTTAATAAGATTTAACATGCTTTTATTTAAAAGAGAAGCATTAGCAGTATGAAATGGATTCAAAAGTTCAACTGCTGCGAGTTTCATTTGTGTGTAATGCATTGATATCCACATGATAATAACGCCTCTATGGCTCTAAATCGTACCAAACAAGCCTATTACATCCGACAAGGCAGTGGGGTCTAATGGGTAAGGGCCTCTCTATTAGCATCTTAATGAGCTTAATGGGACTCACAGGTTATTCGGTCAGCTATACATAACTATTTGATAGTGACTTAATGATATAGAAAGCGGCTTATTCAGTAAGGTTTTAGAGGGGACATTTTTGCAGAAAGCCAAGTTTTTTTCAAACCTGCCCCTCCTAGTTAAAAAAGCACGCTCGTTCCATTTATAGAAAACCTTCCCAATTCAACAAACAGATTAATCCAGACAGACACCTTTATCCAGACATGATTTAATGGAAGATCAACCAAACAGCCCCTAAAGAGTTGGCCTCCACCTTAAAGAGTAGAGTGGTTGTTTCAGTAACAACCCTCGGCTAGTTAAAAGTATGTGAAAGGATGAATATAGATAAATTACGATTTGAAAAGTTGCATGTAAGCAAGCAATAGCAGTACAAATAGAAAGAAGCAGATATGCTAGATATTGAGTGCTAGATATATGTAAGCAACAATAGTATAGATAGAAGCAAGTACATGAAAATCATAACCAACGCGTAGAAACTACACACCACTAGTACACACCTCTAGATTTCTCAAAAATCATTATCACATCCATATTTTTCTTCTGATAGCATTTCCTTTTGTATGATCAAGACTGCTCCCAAGTGAAGTGCACAAATAACATCACATGGACATCAACATAAAGGGATGGTTTTTATACGGATGTATAGCAAGCCTACATCTTTCGAAAAACAAGCGACGCCACACAAATTCAATTTTAAACATTGATCTCTCTGGACACACACACATGTATGTATATATATATATATAATCTTCGCTATAGAACAACCTATTAGAGCATATATTGTACAGGAAGTGTTTCATGTAAACATGAATACTACATGAGTTGTAAAAAGCATATTAACCTGGTGCATTGCTTCCAACACTTCACCCTCCAGACATAGTCTAGATGAGTGGTTGATAGATAAACTGTGATCACATAGTTCCATCTGGATGTAGAGTTGCTCATTTTCAAACCAAGAAGTATTATATCCAACAATGTTATCATGATATCCTGCATGTTCATTGAAAGACTTATGTTTGAATATGGCACATATTAAAGGGAAATGGGGAACAATGATGAGGAAATTCAAGTTACTCACCTAAAGCAGCTAAAGCTTGAACTTCCATCAAAGCTTTTTGCCTGTAAAATGTGTCAATCATAAGTGGCTTATAACCAACATAAGTGTGGATATATATACATTCACACATTCACACATATCAATACTGGTACGACCTACAGTGTGAAAAGTGGAGTACCTCTCAGTGTCTAGATATAATTTCCTTGTGCTGCATTTCACAGCATACATACAACCATCAATTCTCTTCAAGACTTTGAATACACGGCTGAAGTTCCCAGTACCAATTTGCTGCAAAAAGAAAAAGTTGGTTCCAAAAAGTTTAGTGCAATGTTGTTTTTAAGAAAAAGAGCATAGTACTAGCTTATTTATCTCAACAGTCAATATACCTCTATTTCATGAAAATCTGTTCGATAACGTGAAAGACCATCACCACCAAATGCCACAGGGAGGAAAACTGCAGATTGTAATGCATACATAATGGTTAAGGTTCCAAAAGAAAACAGAATCTCAAACTCCCACTTGTTCTTTAAGAATATACATATCATCTATTAGTATAATTCTTGTCCTGGTGAATCTTGCATAACATTTGTAATATTGGATATCCTATGTAATCATGGAAGAGTTTACGCACTAAACAGTTCAGTTGAGAGATAACTTCTGGTTGTTCTTTTGAAACATTAAGATCATAGACATGAACAATATCTACATATATAAATGACAATGGAATAACTATCTACCTGCACATTTTGATCTGCGGTCACCGAATGGATCGATATCGTTTTCTGAAGCATCTTTGATGTAAGGATTCCTCATACAAGGAGGAGGCATGACCCGACAACGCAACGCCACAGCAGATTGGGAAACATACCCTTGCTTGTTTATGTGAGGTTCACCTGCTACTTGATTGTCTGTTTCAGTTGCTACTGGTATTAAAGGATCATCTTCCAGTTCCAGCAGTGCTGTTGCAATGCAAAATGGTTAGGATGTTAGATTGTAAGCAGAACCAATTTGATCTGCAACAGATTAATCGGGACAGATAAAGTTATAAAACAACCTGAACAATGCATGAATCCTGGAATAACATCACATAGATGGCAATGATAGAAAAGTTCAAAGTCAACCAACAAACTAACCTTCTCTTTGCCTTTTACTTCTGACAGATTTTAACTTCTCTGGTGATTTTGGGCATGGCAACTCTTCCAGCTAAATAAATATGCAAAAACAGATCAATTAAAAAATCAAAAACTCTGAGCTGACAAATAGCTCAGATAAGTTCTCTTTCAAAATTACCTCATTGCACACCGGCAAAGGTGGTGCTTCCGGAGTAATGTAGTCGGGCGTGCTGCACATAAAAAAATCATCAATATGTTCAGCTAGACAAAAAAATCATCAATTCTACCATTTAGGTTACTAGACCGATACAATTCTAAGATTAACCTACAATGATAGATATCAAGCTCCTTCAGTTATGGCGAAGGGCTGAACATTGAGTTTTGAGGCAAGCTTAATAGTTTTCAAATGAAAGAAAACAAAACGCAAAAAGATATTTGGTAGCAAGTCTAACACCATAACTCTCGTATTCACCGTCATGCATTACAGTATAGTTCTCCAGACGTTTTCCCCAAAATATTTATAAACCCTAGAATATTAGAATTAGCTCAAATTGTATGATAAGAAGCTGAAATTACCAGAAAAAATCCTGGCTGAGGATGAAATCTTTGTCGTCCACATTGACATCCGAATCGAAATCTAGAACCGTTGCCGATGTCAACGACGATGTAGACGGAACGGATTCCGATGTATTGTGAGCCTCCTCATCGAGAAGATTCTGAAAACGCGAAGGAATGTTATTATTCTGATGAATCGGTGGCTTTAAAGCGATTTGACCTAGATGAACCGATAAGTGCCTCGCCAATGAACCTTTCATTTTCTTGTTTGTTTCCCTTCCGCTACTACCACTCCTACTCCTCTTCAAGGTCGTACTCTTCATCAATGAATCTCCAACCGCCGTCACCGTCACCGTCACCTTCACCTTCACCTTCACCGCCACTTCAACCGCCTCTCTCTCTCTCTCTCTCTAACTCTCCGGCGTATGGATTATGTGAGATATTCGAGAAGAATATAGGGTGATTTGTTGGAGGGTGGTGAAAATGAAAATAAATTTTCAAAATTTGCGCGGGTAAATTTAGCTTTTTCGAAGCACGTGTGATGCAGAATTATCGTGTGCGTTCGTTGGTTCGCGAGCTTTTTATAGCCTTTTTTTCTTTCGGTAAATCGAGATCGTCCGTGCATTTCCTATGTTTTTTTTAATCTATGGTGGAGCCCATAGTTAGTGTGTCGTGTAAGCTCTATTGTAAAACTATAAAATTATGGGTTATTTGTTTATCTCTTAATATTTTTATTAAGTTGTAGTCTTTAAATCGTTAAAAGGTGAATTTTGTTTCGTAAAAACAATGTTTGCATCTTAATGGTTTTTTAAAACCTTCTGAATGATTTTGTATCATGAATCTACCTTAAAGATTCAGTGTCCTAATTTTATTGTAAACAATTATATTTTATTTTACACTATATCGTGAGAGTCTCTTAATCATTCTAGTCACTTTATCGGTTTGTACCAAAATGACAGGGGAATGAAAATATGAATGAGGAGTTGTTTGTTTACCTATTAATAATTCTATTAAGAGACAACCTCTGAATCATTAAGAGGTGAATCTTATTTGGCAAAAAAAATTGTCTCCTAATGATTCTAAAACCCTCTGAAATATAAAGGTTGAAGTGTATGTATATTGAATAAAATTGATGTTGTGATGCTGGTACATAGAGATGTTTATATAGCCTACGCTACAACTAACTGTGAAGAATACAGGAGATAAAGTAGGAGTGTTACAACTAACTATATTTGAATATGTCATGAGTGGTTGAGAGATATTATCTGATATTATCTCTTGATACGCCCCCGCAAGATGGAGGATCCATCGGAGACTCCAATCTTGGATCGTAGACGAAGGAACGAAGCACGAGTCAGTGGCTTGGTGAGTGCATCAGCCAGTTGATCGAAGGAGTTGATGTGACAGACCGTAAAGAACCATCAGTTACTTTTTTGCGAACAAAATGATAATCCAAGGCAACATGTTTCATACACGAATGATAGATTGTGTTAGCACAGAGATAGGTGGCTCCTGTGTTGTCGCAGTATAAGGTGGGTGGAGACTTAGTAGCGACACCTAAGTCATGTAATAAGTTCTGGACCCATGAAACTTCAGAAGCGGCATTTGCTAAAGCTTTATATTCTGCCTCGGTGGAGGACCGAAAGACAGATTTCTGATGGGCGGAACGCCATGAGATAACATTAGAGCCAAGATACAACAAATATGCAGTAGTAGATCGACCACCGCACTCAAGTCATCCCCAATCCGAATCAGATAATGCTTTAAGGTCCATGGAGGATCCTCGGGTTAAGAATAAGCCGTGATGAATGGTTCCTTTTAAGTACCGGAGAACTCGTTTCAATGCTTGCCAATGAGTCTCAGTGGGAGAGTGCATRAACTGTGAAAGTTTATTCAYAGCAAAARAGAYATTCGGTCTTGTAAACGCCAAGTATTGCAAACCTCCCACTAGTTTTCGATACGGTATAGAATCAACGGTTGCGGTCCCGTCCAAGGTGGTGAGAGTCATTGAGGAGTTTAGCGGTGTGACTACTTCTTTTGCTCCATCCATGTGAAAGGTAGTTAAGAGATTTTGGATGTGGTGATGTTGAGAGAGAAATAAGCCGGTGGGGGTGGACACAACTTCGATTCCAAGGAAATGATGGAGTGGGCCAAGGTCTTTAATGGATAAACGGTTGGCAAGAGTGAGAACAAAGTGATCAAGAAAGTAGTTGTTGTTACCGGTGAGAACCAAGTCATCGACATAGACAATAAGATAAGCAAGGATGCCACCTTGATTATAGATGAAAAAAGATGGATTAGCACGAGACTTTCTGAAACCAAGGGATAGGAGAAAAGTGGTGAGTTCGATGTACCACATTTGTGGCGCCTGTTTTAGGCCATAGAGGGATTTTTTGAGTTTACAGATGTGTGAGGGAAATTGAGGGTGGACAAAACCCGGTGGCTGAATGAAGGGTGCCATGAAGAAAGGCATTGTTGACATCCAGTTGCCGAAGAGGCCAACGATTGGAGAGAGCAATGGAAAGAACGGTACGAATGGTAACGGGTTTAGATACAGGACTAAAGGTGTCAAAATAGTCTTCGCGATATTGTTGAAAGAAACATTTAGCAACAAGGCGGGTTTATATTTGGCAATGGTGCCGTCGGGATTGCGCTTGATGCGAAAAACCCATTTGCAACCGATGGGAGAGTGAGAAGAAGGAGGGACTAGCTCCCACGTGCCATTTTGCATTAACGCATTGAATTCCTGATCCATGGCATGGCGCCAATGTGGGTCTTTTAGAGCTTGATTGTAGGTATGAGGTTCAATAGAGGGCGGAATGGGATGACGAGTAGAGAAGTTGACAAAAGAAGGATTGAAGTATTTGGTATTGGGTTTGCGAGTACGGCGGGAGGGTGGCGGAGTTGGATGGGTAGTGGAAGAGGGAGACGAGGTTGTAGACGGTGATTGTGAAGAGGACAGGTTGGGCAGAGGGGAAGTAGTAGACGGTGGTGGGGTATCGGAGGGTGAGTGGGAAGTAGTAGACGGTGGTGGTGATAACGAAGTGAATGAAGGGTTAGTAGTGGTTTCGGTTGATGTGGGAGAGGAAGGAGGGATGACGAAGAGAAAAAACGGGAATGGAGTAGGATTTGAGGAGTGTTCCTCGGATCTGATAGTTGTAGATGTGGGTTTGAGAAAGTCGTTAGGAGTCGGTAAGACGGAGGTAGATGAGAAACGGTGAGATGGGAATTGATTTGCAATAAATTCAACATAGTGTGAGTGGTAAAGACGACGAGTGGTAGGATCATAACATTTATACGCGGATTTGGAAGATGAGTATCCAAGGAATAGGCATGGACTTGAACGAGGTTGAAGTTTGGATGTTGTATAAGGCCGAAGCCATGGATAACACAAACATCCAAAGGGTTTTAGCTTAGAGTAGTTGGGTGATTGACCAAAGAGACACTCGAAGGGACTTTTATGAGATAAGATGGAAGTGGGAAGCCGATTGATGAGATAGATTGCAGTTTGGAATGCATGTGTCCAGAAGGTAAGGGGTAATTTTGCGTAGTGGAGTAATGCAAGTCCAGTTTCGACGATGTGTCGATGTCGTCTCTCGGCAATTCCATTTTGTTCATGGGGTGTTTGGTGGGGTTATGTAGTGAGAAATGCCATGAGATTGCAAAAACGGGAGGAGGCCTTGATATTCCCCCCCCCCCCATTGTCACTAAAAAAGAGATATTATGGGGAAGTTAAAGTATTTTTCGACAAGGAGTTTGAATTGAGGGAAGAGTTTTGCAACGTCACTTTTATATTTCATGGGGGTAAATCCAAGTGTACTTGGAATAATAATCAACAAATATTACATAATATGTAAATTTATCAATAGAAGTTTGGACAGGACCTCATACATCAGAGTATAAAAGCTGAAGTGGTTTAGTTGCAACAAATGAATTTTTACCAATGGTATTTTATGACTTTTATTGATAGAACAGGAAGAACAATGAACAGATGACAAACTTTGTGAATTAAAACCTAACTTTGAAGCTATAGATTGAAACACTTTAAGAGATGGGTGGCCAAGTTTGTGATGAAGGTCGAGTGGTGAGAGCCGAAGGGTGAGGTTGAGTTGGAGCTTGGAAGGTAGCTGTGCATGATAAACATCCTCAGTGTTCTCTCCTTGCATTAGATGCGCCCCCGTGCGAAGATCCTTCACAATAAAAAAGGATGGAAATAATTCCACCGATACAAGGTTAGTTTTACACAGCTTAGCAACAGAAATAAGATTTCGACGTATAGTCGGAACATGTAAAACTCTTGATACCAGAAGTTTATGCTGAGGTGTGTGTAAGTGGGTGTCACCAATGTGGGCAATATGTAAGCTTGTATTATCACCAAGACTAATTTCATCCGGGCCTCCATATTCTGAAACAGTATGAAGGTTGGTTCGATCAGATGTGACATGGTCTRAARYACCCGTGTCAAAGMGCCATGTAGAAGGGGTAGATYCGAAGGTTGTCACATTTGCAGTGGGTGAGGAGTGTACGGTAACATTGTTTTCTCCGAGAAACCGAGCAAGCTTGCGACAATCACGGGTGTGGTGACCAGGAATGTTGCAGTATTGACAAAAGGAATTGTTTCGATTGTTGCGATTGCCTGAAGAGTTGTTTCATTGAGGCCGACTGTTATTATTATTGTTGTTGTTGTTGGGGCATTTAGAAGTGTTTGGACGGTTGTTGCGATTTCCAGAGAACCGTGACGAGTTGTTAGACCGATTTAACTAGTTTTGCTGGCGATAGGTGTAGTTGACTGTGGTGAGAGAAGGTTCGGCCGCAGAAGAGTGGTCCTTGAGTGCTCGCTCATAGTCTTGTAATTTGTCGAATAGTTCGRCAAAGGAWARTGGATTATCACGAACTTTTATTGCTGCAGCGATGGTGTTGTATTCGTCGCCAAGTTGTGAAAGAACATGAACCATGAGATCTTCTTCAGTAACCGGACTTTGAGCGAGGGCAAGATCATCAGTAATAGATCTCATGTCCTGAAGAAATTCGGCAATGGAACGGGTTCCTTTGGGATTATTGACCAGTTTATATTTGAGAGAGATGATTCGCGATCGAGAGGATGAAGCAAAGCTTACATTCAGACGTTCCCATGCTTCTCAAGCAGTGGTGGCAGAGGAGATTAGAGGCTGAATCTGATCCGAACAGCTTCCAAGAATAGCGGACAGAACCATTTGATCTTTACGATACCATGGAAGGTACTCAGGGTTCGATTTTTTTGCCACATTTGTCATCAATCTGTCTTGGAGGTGGAGCAGATTCTCCGATGAAATCTTCAAGCTCGAGCCGATGAGTGTGGACTCGACATGTTTTCTCCATACTGGGAAATTAGTGGCAGTGAGTTTGGTTGTGAGATGTGTTGCAACAGTGATCTGGTTGGTGTTTTTGGAAGACATGGCAGAAGGTGGATTTGAAGATCAGAACTATTTAGAGTGAAAGGGCTCTGATACCATATAAAGGTTGAAGTGTATGTATATTGAATAAAATTGATGCTGTGATGCTGGTACACAGAGATGTTTATATAGCCTACGCTACAACTAACTGTGAAAAATACAGGAGATAAAGTAGGAGAGTTACAACAAACTATATTTGAATATGTCATGAGTGGTTGAGATATATTATCTAATATTATCTCTTGATATGAATGATTTTGTATTATGGATCTTTCTTGACCATTCAACACTATAATTCTATTATAAACAATTACCGAACATTTATATTTCATTTTGCACTATATCATGAAAGTATTTTAATCATTATAATCACTTAATCGTTCTGTACCAAACCATTGAGCAACTACCAAACAGCCTCTGACTTTTCATTCCTCTCAGTTTAATTGGGAACAAAAAATTGGGCTTTTGAAGAAATTAACCTCTAACACCCAATTCCAAATGGAAGGAAGTTGCTTCAAAACGTGACCAACATAAAAATCTCCAAAAATATAGAGCCTCCAATAACGAATTCAGATATCTCGAAAATAAAAAAATACATATCCAAACAAATAACTTCAAGTATCTTTTAACAATTCAACGAAATCCCAATATAACCTTGAAAAACGAGAGTTTAATAACCAGTGAAATAAATCCAATAATTAAAATAATAAAGCACCAAACCTCTCGAAATCTTTGAGATCGATATCCTGATCTACTATCCTTCACAGGATTTAGCAGTCTCCTTGATTACCTGTCGTGAAGAAAAAAGAAAGAAAACACGGCTGAGCCAAATGTCTGGTGCATGGATAAACAATTACAACAATACATGGTAATACAAACATGCAAAAATTGACCTTAAGATATCGAACAAAGCCCGACAAGACAAGTGTCAGACATAGGGCCACACAGGTTGGTACGTCATATTATAGATCCGCATGTACTAAATGTGAGATGCGGCGTTGGCACTACATCGACATCCACCCTACAAAAAATTGCATGTGCTAGGGTCGACCGATATACCTCCTAAATAACATATATGTCACACCAAAGTCAACTCTCACAATAGCGTAAAAGAGGAGACATCGTAGACTGATCACATTGTCACGGTTAGTGTCACGCCACCAATGCCACGGTCATGTGCCTATGGTAACCCCATAGGTGGTTAGTAGCTCGACTTACCCAGAGTTAACTTGTCACAGCAAATGTGACGTCATGTAGTCTCGATTAAGAACGAAACGTATCAAAATCGAGTGAATAAACAAACATAAGCAAGGTCAAAAAGGTTGAAGAACAAATACTTGTAACAATCAACATGGCTCAAATCAAAAAGGTACATAATCGATTACAAGTATCAACACATGTACATTTAGAGGTAAAAATCATACTAAAATGCTACCGAACATTAAACGAAATCTTTCGGAGAAAACACATATTTGTACCAACACGATCAACTTAAATAACGTAATTAGGACAAGTCGTCCTTGCCATCTTGTATAACATAGAACAATCACGAGTGAACGAAATACGTGGTAACAGACAATTTGGATAACCTGAGTTAAACAAAAGCTTACGAGTTCATAAATCATATTTAAACGAATCGAATGAACGAAAATGGTTAAGAATCCGTACCTTAAACTTTACAAACGTTTATTAACCACCGAGTCCACTTCTCTTGTACCCGACCTAAATTAAACACCCAAACTTACTATTAATCTTTGTCGTTAACCAGCAAATCGATCAACCATTAACGAATAATTAAACCCAACCAGAACCTATAAATCTTAGGTGCTAAAATATAACAAAGAAAATGGATGAAACCAAAGAAAGTTTAAATTAAAAATCAAAACCAATATGAAGCAATGTGAAAGGAAAACACTACATGATGCATGTACAAATAAAAAAAGACAAAACGTATGAAAAAGTAACGTATTTTAACTTGATTCTTATTTTGGGTAACATATTTTCAAAACTTTTATTTTGGTACATAAGATGTAAAGTTTTAAATATTTAAGTATCTGGGTAACCAGTTGAAGCAATAACCGGTTACCATGTTGATGTGACGAGTGATGTAGTATCTAATTCAATATTAAGATATCTATGCTGATATCACTCGTCATATCAGCATGATAAACGGTTAATAATTCAAGTGGTTACTCGATTATTTAAATGTTTAAAACTTTACATCTTATATACCAAAACAAAAGTTTTAAAAATATGTTATCTAAATTATGAATTAAGTGTAATTTATAAAAAAAACGAAGGTAAAAGTTACGATGCACATTAAAAATATAGGAATAACAAAGACAAGGTACAAGTCCATATGCAACAGGTTAACGTGGCATTTTGGGCATCAAATTGCGTGGGAGCAAAGCAAATGACACGTCATTTATTTCGTATCTTATGCAGTAGTATTATACTTATGCCCGTTAACTACCGGTAACTGTTATAATGGATAAAATATACTTTGCCCCCTTTACTTTTTTATAGTTGACATTTTAAATCCTTCTAGTTTCATTTTATGCATTTAAGCCATAAAACTACATGTTAATGTGTTAGTTCAGATTGTAACCTGAAACTCAAGAACATGACGTTGGAATCGATAGTAACCTCGGTAAGTAGTAGGTTATTTGAGCTCGGTTAAAAAAAATAATACCAAGTTCGAACTCGACTTAAGTTAGATTAACTTTTTTAAAGTATGGCTCGAACTCGAGCTTGAATATATTTTAGATTACTGAGCTTGATGCTCGTTTAAGGGCTTGAATTTGCGACCAATCGACTCGTTGATTGTTTTGAGCTTGATGGTATTCATATATTTGTTGTTTCGGTTATGAACATATTAGCATGTTTAGCATGAAAAAGTATATGCTCGAATGGCTCGGTTCGACTCGAAAATTTAACCAGGTTTTCAATTCAGTCAAGTCGAATATTCGTGTTATAAAGTTTCACTTGTTAATTTAAACGAATCTTACTTTGTGTTCGAGATTGACTCGAACTCGATCATTACTAAGCTCGAGTAGCTCGTTGAAAGTTTGAATTGCTTACACCCCTATATATACCTACGCGTTGTACTCGCTGCATGTTGCACTCTAGGAATAGGTTTTATTCGAAGTTTTGAACACAGGTTGGGTGATTTGGAGGCGTTCGAATAACCAAAACCAACTAACATAGTTTAAAAAATATAATTTCGTTCAAAGATACTTAGAGCATAATCTAACACAATTCGCACAGGAGTGGGGAATTGTGATACACTTATAAAAACAGCTGACCGTTTGTTTATCATGGTCATGCAGATTAAAAGCATCCCAACAGGTATAGCAAAAGACGTGTATAACGTATAAGAGGGATGTATCATAAACAAGTTTTGAAATCTTACAACTCAATTAAGTATAGCCGTATAGAAGCGTTTTCGAGTTGGATTGGCCGGGTTTGTACACACATGGACTGAAACATAAGTAAGTAAAAGTAGAAGGTTCAAAGTGTAATTATTATATTTAAAAATAGTAAACTACAAATTTGGTTCATGTGAATTATCAAAAATAACATTTTTCGTCCTTATAGTTTGTCAATTACAAGATAGCCATAGTGTTTGCAAAAATATCTACATTTTTTTTGATTAACCTGAATATCCAACCATCTATGCGAGCCGACTAATCCCAAGGCGACCACCTGCTTTGCAGATAGCCCGGAGTCACCGTATTTGAACGTGCGTGGCCACAAGAGGATTTTTATTCCTCCTTGGATTTGAACATGAGACATCCTAGTACTTTTGACATTTGAAACCAAACTCAAACTAATCAGACACCACCCTTGTGGTTAAAAAAAATACCTACATTTAGAACATCTCTCTAACGACATTTAGAAAATCTCGTTAAATTAGGAACTTTTTTCATTATTTAATCATTTTATCTATTTCTTTTTTGTCGTTTATCTAATAAAAAATCGTAGGGATCAAAATCATATAATTGATTTTGATTGGGTGAAAGACAAGAAAACAATAACAGGAATAAAAATGCTTTTCATTCACCGGACGTTAGAGGGAGGGACCAAATCTTAATATTTTTCTAAACGAAGATGACTATCTTGTAATTTCAAAACTATAAGGACAGAAAATGCTAATTTTGACAAACCAAGGGACCAAATTTGTAGTTTACTATATTTTAAACACGGATAAAACACTACCGAGACCCAAGAAATTAAGATAATCTACAATGGCAACTGTCTCGCCATTCTCTTCTCCGACATGGCCAAGCCCTAACCCTAATTCTAGCTCCAATCCACATCCAGAAGAGGGGAAAGACCATCCTAATACACTCGCCGGCGATATTCACGCTGGTCTATCGTCGAAACTTCCACCGATCAGAACGAATCCTAACCAACAACAACGAATTTCATATAACCACGATGGTGAAGAAGGTATTTGCGCTGCAACTCAACCCAATTCGGCACCGGCTGCGATTGGACGGACCCTAAATTCAAACGTTAACCTCATAATCCCTAATTTTAACAACCGTGATTCTGCTCCTTCACTTCTTTCGCTATTTCACGTTTCGTTTAACCAAGACAACGGTTGTTTCGCGTGCGGTATTAATCAAGGATTTCGGATATATAATTGCGATCCTTTTCGCGAGATCTTCCGTCGAGATTTCGAGAATGGAGGCGGTATTGGGATTGTGGAGATGCTGTTTCGGTGCAATATACTTGCGTTGGTCGGTGGCGGTCCACATCCTCAGTATCCTCTCAATAAGGTTATGATATGGGATGATCATCAGGGCCGATGCATCGGTGAATTGTCTTTTCGGTCCGAGGTTCGTGGAGTTCGGCTAAGGCGAGATCGAATAGTTGTGGTTTTGGAGCAGAAGATATTCGTATACAATTTCACGGACCTGATGTTACTGCATCAGATCGAGACGTTTGGGAATCCAAAGGGACTCTGCGAGGTTTCACAAGGTTCCGGTAATTTTGTGCTTGTTTGTCTCGGATTGCGGAAGGGGCAAGTTAGGGTTGAACATTACGCATCGAAGCGAACAAAGTTTATTTTAGCTCATGATTCAAGAATTGCGTGTTTCACTCTGGCGCAGGATGGGAATATGCTTGCCACTGCGAGCAATAAGGGAACTCTTGTTCGTATTTTCAATACCCACGATGGGACACTGCTGCATGAGGTAGGCCTTAATTTGATTAAGTTCATATTCATTAATAATTAATGGGTAAAAATTGTTGTTTGCGATGCCCTTGTTGGTTCGGATTGTTTAACTGTACTCAGTATATTTAGTTTGCATCTTTTGTATAACAAGGCTGTATTGATTATTGGTGCGAGTAATTGTGTGAAACGAAAGTAGTTTCTATGTCTTGCCAGAATCTGATGTTCATAACTGGCCATGGTAAACATTAGTTGTATCGAATATAATTAGCTTCGGTGCCTTGCTATTTGCTAAAGTTAATGCCTGGCATATGATGTGCTTTGTCTGAAGTGATAAGGGAAATATATTGTTTTTTTAAGATCAATTGGGATAAAAGATAAATAGATGCTTAGCATTGCAAGTTACCCAGTTCACGGTTAGCATAGGTGGTTTTTGGAGAATGTTGTTTTATCAAGGTTTTATCCAAAATTCATATAGCCTTTTTATCTTTGGTTGCCACTCATGGTTTTTGAAGATGATGCTAGGTTTGCTTAGATCTTGAGTCGTAGATCAAGCTCATGTCAATCAGATTACCTAATTGGTTATAGGCTTACTGCTACAAACTTCAATTTGTGGTATTTTTATATCTTATAATCTATAAAGCATGGAGATGTATGATACCTGTTTGAGCTCATAGTTGGCACAATTCAGTCTTCCTTTGCTTTTCCCTGCCACTAAATCTCTTGGCTCAACATAGAAAGGTACAAAAGATTAAGTTTCTGATTGAAATGGTACGCTTCAGCCAGGAATAAGGTCGTGTTATTGGAGCTACAATATGCGTGTTTGATGGTTGCCCATTGCATCATTTTCAGATGTTGTTGTCTTTAATCTGGTCATATGAGCATATTGTTTACTGTTGGAAGCTTTCCATCCACTGTTTCTTAAAGTTAGAAACCCCATCTTTCCCATTATTAACAACTTATTTCCTTCTCAAAAGTCAAGAAGTAGAATTGAAAAAATGTTTAGTTTCCGCTACAACTGACTATGAGTATATAACGAGTTAAATTTTGTCACCAATTGTGTCAAATTTAGAATAGTGTTTGATAATTTTGAAATAAAAAGAAGATCCTATGTGTCTATTTGATTTAATAAAAATGACTTTTTGAGTGGCGCTTGTTTGATTGGTGAATTTGATGATTATGTGAAGAAAATATCCAAGAAACATGTCTATGATCGACTTTCTGAAGCTTATAATAAATGAAAAACCACAAAAGAGGGTGCAACTTCTTTAGAAAGGTCAAGTCATTTAAATAATTTCTATCGGTACATTAATAGTTGAAGTTTTGATTAGTTTAGGTTGGAAGTCATAAGAGGATGTTTTTTTCTTAAAGTGACAAGGATCCATGTTAGGGCTCCGGCTAGTTAGTTGCCAATATTTTACTTCTTTGCTTTTCTTCTGATACTGTTGTATTTAGCTGAACTTATTGTTTGTTTTGTGTGGAACATTCTCCATTAAGTTATAAGCTTATTAACATACTAAAAACAACTAGATATCTGATGTAGGTTAGGAGAGGTGCAGATAGAGCAGAAATATATAGCCTTGCATTTTCTTCTATGGCCGAGTGGCTAGCAGTCTCAAGTGATAAGGGTACGATTCACGTTTTCAGCCTCACGACCATGGATAATCAGGACCATAATGCTGCTGTTTCTCCATCTAGCTCACCACGTGCTCTCATTAAAGGTACACAAGTGCATATAAGCTATGAAATGGGTGAAGTTTGTTTTGGTCAGTCAATTACTCTCTAGAATATTGCCAAGGAGATTGATTTTTTGAACAACTATACTTGTCCTTTCATAAACTTTTCTTGCCAAAGAGACGGTATGACCAAAGGGCCTATGGTCCAGCGGTATCCGGTGGCCCAAACTTTCTAGAGGTCATGGGTTCCAATTTTCAACCTCGCCAAACTTGAGGCATGTGTGTGAATGTGTCTGTGTGGGTTTCATTTGCCGCATATAAATCTTATATCTTCCAAGAAAAGACACTGTGGTTTATATAAATATGAATGCCACCAAACAACCATTGTATTAGGTTTTTTTTGTCCAAAATTGCTCACTCTTGCAAAGTATAATGGTTTCCCCCCCTTTTTTTTGCATTTTCAAAAAATGATGGTTTCTTGCAACGAAAAACCAAGTGGTTTTGGATCAGTTCTCCACATACACTGGTATTATCGATCCACAGAAAACACAACAAACAATAGACGAAACAGAAGGACTGTGACTGGTGGAAGAGACTATTGCATTCAGCTTACAGCACCTGTATTGGAAGTTTTAGAATGGTTTATTTAGTAGTTTAGTGACCGGCTTAAAATTTTCTTTCAGGAGTTATGCCCAAGTACTTTAGCTCTGTGTGGTCATTGGCTCAGTTTCGTTTGGTTGAAGGTTACCAGTATATTGCCGCATTTGGTCATCAAAAGAATACAGTGGTAATTCTCGGCTTGGATGGAAGGTGAGTAAACTATAAGCTTCTTGACAATTTTTTTGTATATATAATGGCATGATAACGAAATTACCCCAAATTGATGTTCACCTCATTATGAAGAAGAAATGCACTTTAATAATCCAAATCTTTTCAGAAACCATGGGATGTCGTTTGGTTTATTGGTTGCACCAAAGAGAAAAAATGTTAACAAAATTCATATTAGAATGTAAGTTGTAAATGTGATATTCGGTAGTAGGGTCGTAATTTGTAAATAGGGTGGATGCATAGTGACTGGATAAATATGATATCTAAAATTTGCAGATGTAAATACACTTTTCTGGATTGAACCGGCTGATAATCCAATTAATGGTTATCCAAACCATTGAATTTGTAAATAGGATGCGTTTGGTATGGAGACGGGACTGAACTGGGCGGTCGAGTGAAAGTTTGAGTTTGTAAAAACATTAGTTTTGACATTAGAAATTGAGAAAAAATATGAGAAGTTTGGTAACTTGATTGCGCACGTCCTAATTACATACGGTTTTGTGGTCTTTGTCTCTTTGACTCTCTGCATTTACAATGCACGTCTTGAAACACTAATTTATGCCAAATGGTCAATGGCCCAACGACACTCGGGTTTTTGGTAGACCCAACCTTCTTGGAGGTCAAGTGTTGACCAAATTAAATATTATATACTGAAAAAAAATAACTAGTTTGGTTTGGTAACTTGATTGTTGACCACATTTTGTGCTTGTTAGAGTCCATTTCCCAAACACTTATCGAGTAAGTGCTTATCGGCAAGAGTCACTACCCTCAGTTACCTTACCGGGTAACATTATCGGCCGTCAAAGTGGATTGTTGGTAGGCTTCTTTTACCCGGTAAGATTCTTGATCATTGCCATTTAGGGGTGCTTAAAAACCTGACCAACCCACCCAACCCATCCCATCTCTAAATAACCCAACCCGAAGTCTAATCAAGTTGTAAAATTTTCAAACTGTAGGTATTGGGTTGAAATTGGGTTACAGTCATTTGAACCCAACCTAACCCGATGAACCCAATATCCTTTTATTTTCTTGGATTTAATATGGTTGTTAAGTTTGTATTAATATGTACATTAGACAATTACACCATCATGCACTCTCTTCATATACATATATTTTCAATCTCTTCTCCATCTCTATATAACTCTTATATATGTTTAGTAAATGTGAAAATACATATCCAAATTGAGAAAGTAGTTGAATGTGATATACCTAAGATTTAAGAAGTACGAGTAAGATGTATCAAATGATTGATAATGAAAAATGAATTATAAATAAAGAAAAGCAACACATATTCAAGGTTAGAAGAATATTTTAATGTATCAAAGTATCAACCAGACCAACCCCTACAGTTGGGTAATGGGTTGGGTTGAGATTTTTCAAACCACAAACATTGAGTTGGGTTGTTTATTTGTTCAAATATCTTCAACCTGATAAACCCAATCCATGAACACCCCTACTTGCCATGCTCACTCAATTGATGTTATAGGACATAGGGGTTGTTTGGCAATTGTTGAATGGTTTGGTGCAGAATGATTAAGAGACTCATGATATAGTGCAAAATGAAATATAATTGTTTGGTAATTGTGTACAATGAAATTAGGGCTCTTAACGGTTAAGGGAGATCTAGGATACAAAATCATTCAGTGGGTTTTAGAACCATTAAGAGACAGATTTTTTTTTTGCCAAACAAGATTCATCTCTTAACGATTCCGAGGTTGCCTCTTAATGGAACTATTAAGAGGTAAACAAACAACCCCATAGTACTTGCAGCCAGCTGATGGTGGAAAGTTGTTGTGCAGTTTCTATAGATGCAAATTTGACCCAAAAACTGGTGGGGAGATGAGGCAATTGGAGTATCATAACTTTGCGAAGCCTGATGACTCGTTCTAATTGCTTGCAGAAAAGAAGGTATTTCTGGTTTGTTTTTTCTGACAAGGGGTAAATATGTAATTTTTGTAAATACAAATATGTGTATATATAATGTAATCAACTTGTGAAAACGAAGACGAGAGGTGGTTTATATAATAAGTGCATTTGTGCTATTCCACCCTCGATTTGCATGGTTGTACAAGATGAGGTTAATGGGCCGTTTACCAGCGTTTTATTGGGCAAGTGTTTACCGGTGACTCCATTTACCTTACTAGGTAGGCGGGCAACATTCTCGTCCATCAAAATGGATTGTTAGTAAACATCTTTTACCCGGTAAGTGTTTGTTGGGTAAGAGTCTGTCTTTCTCTCACTTACCAGGTAAGATTCTTGGTCATTGTCATGTTTTTCCTGTATGGTATGTGACAAGAAGTAAGAGCACACTGATTAAGAGTTTGGTAAATGGTTTCTTTAAGTTGCATGAAAATGACAAAAATGGCAAGTGGCTTCTTAAGTCGCATAATCTTGTTACAGGGTCCATGTTAAAATCAAAAGGGCAAATTACATAAAAAGATTCCTATTTTGGGTAACGTATTTTTAAAACTTTCATTTTGGTATCTAAAATGTAAAGTTTTAAACATTTAAGTACCCGGGTAACCGGTTGAAGACTAAAATGTACATGATAACCGGTTACTCAGGTACTTAAATGTTCAAAACTTTATATCTTAGATACCAAAACAGAAGTTATGAAAGTATGCTATCCAAAATATGAATCAAGTTAAAAGTACATTATTTTTTCATGCAATTTGCCCAAATAAAAATGACAAAAATGTTCGAGAATGCGTGAGAGAAAGAAAAGGGACGAAAGACTTGTCGATGAGAATAAAATGTTCGTTTTTTAGGCATGAATTTTTTGGTATTAATTTTGATCAATTTTCGTCGATTTCGATTAAAAGTACCGGGGTTGATGGTTGTTTTTAAGAAATGTTGTACCCATCTTTTTTAATCTCATACGTTGGACATTCTCATTTGAATTCCCATATACCATTTTACCTGTCTTTTAATCGATTTAAATGGATACAATAAATACTAAATTGGTGAAAAAAATTAATAACAAGTCAATTCATTATCGTGTTTATAGATGATGGAACCAAGATTTTTGTCAACTGGGTACAACTTTAAGGTGAATCGAAGAGCCATAAAGTCGTCTGATTTGTTTTTTACCGTAATCCACCGTTTTTAGGGATTTCTAAAGTTTTTTAGTCGATTTTAAGAAACTTTTTTTTGGGTTTTTGGTGATTTCAGGAGACTTTTTCAAATTTTTGGTTAATTTCAATGTGTTTTTTTTTTTTGTTTTTATTTACGATTGATGCTCTATTCTCTAATATCCTGAAATACAACTAAATCTTAACAAAAGTTTTATTACTCAAAAAATCTTATTTACAAAAACAAATTGATAAGTCTAGGAGAGCCATCGAAACATACATATGTAGGTTCGAACTTGGGATCATGTGAGACAAGACTGTTTTCGTACGACTGTGAAAGTATCACTTGAAACTTCACATCAAAACACTGTGAAAGTAACATTCACAATGTTTTTTGCCGTGAAGATTTGACTTTTTTTTTACCCTCACAACATTTTTTTGTGAAGTCTCAAGTATAAAAATTGTCTCATTTTTATTGATTAAGTTTTTATTATTTTTTAATAAATGGTTTCACTTCTTATTTTTTAAGGTGGGGAACATCATTCGGATGAGAATGAAATCGCTTCTAGAATTTCATTTGGCTATATTCTCTCATTTGGTCAAGAATGAGAAACTTGACCAAACACAATAATTATTCTACCAACTCATTCATATGCATTTTCTTAGCAAAACAAACTCCTTAAGGTTGTAATATTTTATTCAGTAAATTGAATGAAAAAATATCGTATTTTAATTTAATTTCTATTTTGAGTAACGTATTTTTAAAACTTTCTTTTCGATAATTAATATGTAAAATTTTAAACATTTAAGTACCTGAGTAACCGGTTGAAGCATTAACCGGTTACCATGCTAATATGACGAGTGATATGATATTCAATTCAGTTAGCCGGTTGGATGGTAACCGGTTAATGCTTCAACCCGTTATCCAAATAATTAAATGTTTAACATTTTACATCTTAGGTACCAAAATAGAAGTTTTGGAAGTACGTTACGTGAAATATGAATCAAGTTAAGATACACTATTTTTTCATGTAACTTGCCCTATTTTAGAAATCTGAAAAAAGTTTACTTTAAGAACGATGTTATACTTTCATCTAAAAAAAAAGGAGAAATGGGAAATATCGAGATTTAGAAGAAAAACGAGAAAATATAACACATGTTGTAGATGCTCTAAATACCTAAACCTATGCAAATCAGTTTAACGTGCGATCTACGAAGTGAAGTCAAGGTCTAAAGAAATTCGTATTTATTATTGTTACTGATTTCTCGCTCAAAATTCATCGAATAGTCGTTTTCAACAAAATATCACAAAAGTAAGTAAATTGGCTTATTAAATATGTGAATTTGCTTTCTCAGTCATTTTTGTCGAATGATGGGTCGTGTTTTAGAAGAAAAACAGAAAATCCTTCTTCTAGGCATGTTCTGCAAAGCAGGTTTGTGGATTCACAGGCTCTTTTGTAACAATGTTAAAAGATGACTGTTTTTTTTTTGTAAGGGTCTCCAGGCCAAAGCCCGACTAATCCCCGGCAAATTTGGAGGCTAAACATGGCCCCACTTAAATGTTGCCAATACCCCCCTCCCAAGGCTCGAACTCGGGTTCATGACTATGCCATGCCCAATCCTTTACCACTAGGCTGGAAGGTCTTTGATTAAAAAAAGATGATTGTTTGATAAATACTTTAGTCAAGTATTTAACTCAATAGATAAACCTTAACATGCTTTCAGATAAAATATTTTATTACCATTTTTATTCAAGATTACTGCTTTGTCTTCGGTATACGTTCTTTATTTAAAACAAACTTATAAAATTCCAGTTAAAAGAAATACTTGTTTGAAGTTTAAGAACATCTCAGTAAAATATGATACATTTTTATTTAGAAATTAAAATAAAATAGAAGAAGAAGAAATCTTCAAATTAGAAAAAAAAAGAAAATAAAATAAAATTTAGTACATCCCTCGAATGAGATGTTTATCAAACACTTATCCGGGTAATGTTTTACCAAGTCATGTTAACTTAGCAGATGAATATAACAAGAACCAATAATCTTATTCGGTAAGTGAGGACAACAATTTTTACCACGGTTAGTGTTTACTGAATGTATTGTTACATAAGATGCCTTTTTTATGACTAGAATATCATCCGATAAGTAAGTGATAGTGTTGAGTTTTACTCATAAACGCTTATCAGGTAAACGAAAACGACCCCGAAGTGTTTTAATATCAATTGAATTTTTTACTTCAATAGTCAACAACATATATGAAATCTTTTGTTGTTACATTGAAACTTAAAAACTAAGTTGAGTTAATAATGACGGGTATGAACATGTTAATTTAGAAAAATAATAATAATAATAATAATAATAATAATAATAATAATAATAATAATAATAATAAAATATAAAAAACGTTTATTTAAAATATTAACTTGTCCGCACTAAAGCGTGTATTTTCTATAAGAATATTTTTGGTCAAAGGACCATTTATGCATTATAAATGTGATTCTAGAAACATCTATTCTTTTTCCACCGGGTGTGGACTTCTTGAGGAGTATTTTGGTTTTCTTTATAACAAACTTCTTATTATTTTAATGGAATGTTTGGTTTGTAAGTTTTGAAAGAATCTTATGGAATTGAAATGTTGAATTTTATTGATTAAATTTTATTACTTCGTATGGTTCATTTTTTTTTTCATGAAAGAAATCTTCAAAACATTACAAATAAATAAATTTACATTTATTTAGCAACTAAATGATATTTTGATGGAATGAAATTCTCAATTTTTATGATAACAAATACGTCCTTAATCCAATATGCCATTGATTTGAACCACCGTCGACTACCACCGATCTGAACTATCGCCGACCACCACCGATCTTAACCACTGCCGACCACCATCATCTGAACCACTGCTGACTACCACCGATCTGAACCACCATCGATCTGATCCACCCTTGATCCGAACCACCGTTGATCTAAAACACCGCCGATCACCGCCATCTAAACCACCATGGACCACTATCGATATGAACCATCGTTGACCATCATCATTTGAACCACCAAGGACCACTATCGATCTGAATCACCGTCGACCACCAATGATTTGAACAATCACTGATCTAAACCATCATCACCATCGCCGATCTGAACCACCGTCCATCTGAACCACCGCTGACCACCTCCATCTAAACCACCGCGAACTACCACCGATATGAACCACAACTGATCCATACGGACCATCATCGATCTGAACCACAACCGACCATCTATCTGAACCACCGCCAACCACCATTGATTTATTAACGTTGTTTGGTTTATGGTTATATTTGGTTTGTGTATTTTATATTGTTTTACATAATAAATCATTAATCTATTAAAGTATTTTTACTTCTAAAAAAATTTAAGTTTTCAAAAAGGGGCATTTTTGTCATTTACCAATATTTCATTCTAATTCCAAAGCTACATTATGTGAACCAAACAAATAAATTTCAATTCATTAACATATTCCATTTCAATGTCTGTCAACCAAACATGTGGTCAAACCTAATGTAACGCCCCCAGAACCCCGTAGCAATGATATTGTCCGCTTTGACTAACCTGCCCGCTCAACCACAAAGCAGTAGTCGCAMGGTTTTGTTTCTGGCAGCCGCACAACGCAAGCCCCAAAACGCGTCATACTAGGTTGAGGTATCCACACCCTTATAAGGAGTGCTTAGTTCTCCTCACCAACCGATGTGGGACGGATTGTTACACCTAACAACATTTCATTGCAATTTCTTTAAAGTCAAATTTCTTTAACATATTTCATTCAATCAAAAAAAAATTATGCGAACCAAACGCCACATAAGAGTCATTTATCAAATGTTAATAAGTAAAACCACCACCATCATTTACCTTATTTGTTAACATTCTTAATTGGATAAAGTATTTTAACTCACTTATCAGGTAAGATTATCGGTCTTTGCTATGCCTCTTACAGTGCAAGATTTGAGGTCTTTGCAATGCTCATCCGAAAGGTAAGTGACACGCGAAAAACATTTATCCAATAAACGTTTGATAAACGACCCATTAACGAAAATTACAAATATGCAAGGACAGAGCTTTTAGACTACTCTATTACCAGTCCCATACACAAAATCAATCAACCAACTAAACAATAACCCATTTGAGATTTTTAGAAATGTTAAATGACAGGTTTGGAAAACAAACTTGACTTTCTACATAAACTTTTCTTAAAACTTACTAAATAAGCAATTTTATACATCATTAAACCACTACCAAACAGTCATGTATAGCTGACAATAAACGTTGAGTTCTATTAAACTCTTTAAAATGCTAACAAACAATCATGCTTTTATCTTACTTGAAGACAAACCAAATGCCAAAAGAATTTGAAGGGTTAAAATGCAAAATAAGAATCCAGATAACCGAAAGTGGAAATGGAGACATACTCCAAGGACTATTTATGAAATTTCCTACACCTATATAATACACCCGCTTTCCCTTCTCCTCCTACACAAAGTTTGTCTACTTCACCATCAATCGATCATCTACCATTTGAGCTCCTTGTTCGTTGCTTCTGTTGTTGAACTCATATCTCTCGGCTTCGTTCTGTACTTAGCGATTTTGATATCACTTTTGATCTTTTCATAAGAAATCAGCCGTTTCCACCACGACATGGCCATAAAACTGTACGGATTCGTTGGTTCAAACGCAACGTTTCGTGCTCTGGCTAGCCTCTACGAGAAGGATGTCGACTTTGAGTTAGTTACGGTTAACATGGCCGCCTGGGAACACCGAAGACCTCGATTCCTTGCACGTAACGTACGTATAACGTATATTATTAGATTTCGGAATTAACACATCTGTTGTTGACTTCAACTTTTCTTACTAGATCTGAAATCTGATGTGTGTGTTGTGTGTGCATTTGCAGCCGTTTGGTCAAGTTCCAGCGTTGGAGGATGGTGATGTCACGCTATTCGGTAATATAACATCATAAACTCAAACTGTTGTCAATTGATTTTGAAATTTGGTGTATATTCGGTCTGTTTCAATTTCCTAGGGCTTAATTTTTGGTAATTTGTGTCAGAATCAAGAGCAATAACGCAGTACATAGCACGCAAATACCCCAATAAGGGCACGGAACTGATAATGAACGATCCGTTAAAAATGGCGATCCAAACGGTGTGGATGGAAGTGGAAAATCAAAAATTCGATCCTGTCTCCTGGAAGCTAATGGAAATAGCGATGCATCGAGTTCGTGGAGGTGAGGAGGTAGTTGCGGAGTTAGAAAAAAAGCTGTCAGATGTACTCGATGTATATGAAACACGGCTGACGGAGACTAAGTATTTAGGCGGAGATAGCTTCACTCTGGCGGATCTCCACCACACTCCAAACGTGTATTACTTGATGATGACCAGATCGAAGAGGCTGTTTGACGCGCGGCCACACGTCCGCGCGTGGGCCGCCGATATACTTTCCCGGCCGGCTTGGTWGAGGGTTACTTCCATGTTGCGGTGGTGAAGGTGAGGTTTGTTGAGAATTGCTCCGAGTTGTACGTCGTGTTTGAATCCATGTATCTTTTTACACACTATTTGATGAGTAAATTACTTTTTTTTCTCACTGCGATCAGGTAAAAAAAAATTGTGGATTTTGTTTTATGGTTTATTCATTGTTATTTCATCCTTATGATCTATAACTTATTGTTGTTCAGATCTTTATGGTTTACGTTTATTTACAGTTTGGTTTCTTTATACGTAGGAATGCAAACGAGCCGACCCGAGCAGTCGGCTCGAAAAGTTCACTTGAGTTTTCAAACGAGTTGAGTCGAACATTGGTGTTATGAAATTCGGCTCGTTAAGTCAAACGAGTTTTATTTTGTGATTGATATCGACTCAAGCTCGAGATAAGTGAGCTTAAACTCGAGTTCGAGTAGCTCGTTAAAAACTCAATTCGCTTTAAAGATTAAAAACAACAATTTCTAAATCATAAGGACGAAAATCGGAATTAATAACCAACCACAGGGAGAAACATTGTAAGTTACTCCTATTGAATAAGTATTTAGTCAAATGTCGTAATTGATCAGCGTTAAACAATAATTTCCAGAAAGCCATTGTTATTTTATTCTATTTTCGTTGTGGTATGGACTTTTGATTAGATCCAATCTAACGGTCAATTGGGGTTCTATTTTGTGGAAAGTCAATTAAGATGTACAGTTTTCTACCATTAGATTGGATGATCGGCTTTTGCAACTCGAATGAGAGCATCTATGCATTTAGTGGCGGTCTCCTATGCAAACTAACGGGTCTCTTGACCCTATCCCAAACAGTTTAAAAATTTCCGAATTCGTTAAGATTTAAATCTTGTTTGTTAAAAAAGTTTGTTTTTTAATGGTTTTATAAATAATCTGAATGATTTTGTATTTTGAACTTCGCTTAACCATTCAGTGTCCTAATTTCATTGTAAATAATTACCAAACAATTATATTTCATTTTGTACTATATCATGAGAGCTTCTTAATCATTATAATCATTCTGTACCAAACCATTCAGCAAGTGTCAAACAGTACCCAAATTTAATTTTAAACAAATATTTACCCTTATGAATGATTTGGTTTTATACTTAGAAGAATCAATTCAATTTTTACAATATCATATATGAACTCTTGTGATTCACATGTGAATTAATTAACTGATTCACATATAAACTAATTAATAGGTTCACAAATGAAAATACAACTCATATGTGAATTACATAGGTTCAGATTTCGCCACCTACTTGTAAAAGTTACGAGATCACCCCTCTATCTTTTGCATACCCATGAGAAAATAGGTGAATAAAATTCTAGAAGCGGTTTGGGTTGGGCTCCGGTGAGAAAGGTAAGAAATGATCTTCGCCCATTGATCAATCCTAATTGAATATCAACAGTAATGAGATATACCAAGATACATCTAATCAATTTCCATATCAAACACACATTCATGAGATGAGATGAGATTAAAAATGATCAAAGATCCAGATCATTTTCTTACAATTCTCGCCTTAACTGCTATGATGACAATATTAATATTTATATCGTTAAAAGTCAAAGATGTTTACATCAACAGCACCAACTACCACCTCACCATCTCCATCATGTTATATATAATTCTCCTTTGCTTCAACCTTTCCATTATCTTCATCTTCTTCACAACAGAAACTGGTCAACTGCTGTGCCACCATGGCCATCAAATTGTACGGAGCTGTGGGTTCAAGCCCAACGTTTCGTGCTCTCGCTGCTCTCATCGAGAAAGATCTCGATTTCGAGTTCATTCCGGTCGACTATGCCGGCCGTGAACACAAGTCTCCTGAGTTCCTTCAACGCAACGTACTTACAACTTCAAGGGAAATTGACATAAATAACCAATCAGTAAATACAGTTTCACTTGTTAGTCATTTTCTGACCCAAATTCACTTTTTGGACAATCATTGCTCAGAAAGCACGCATACGCATACGGATTAGTTTTCGGCAAAAAAAAAAGGTTTATGCGTAAGAAACTAGAATCTTTACGCATATGTCTAAGGTTTCTGGGTAAGGATTCCACTGTATGCGTAAAGGTTCCGGATCCTTACAAACCATTTTCTTCTTCTTTTTTGCCGAAAACCAATCTTTATGCATATGCGTAAGTGTAAGGATCGGCTAAAAAGTGAATTTAGGTAAAAAAAAAAATAGTTAAAAAGTGAAACCATTTATTCGTTTTTGGCTATTTGGATAAATTTCCCCGACTTTTATCAGTATATTTGATTTCTCGTTTAAATATCTGTTTTGGGGTTGAAATTTCTCTTGATCTGATATGTATATGTATATATATGCAGCCATTCGGTCAAATTCCCGTGTTTGAGGATGGCGATCTCAAAGTATTCGGTAATAATTTGCTACCAAATTTCCGCTTTATTTTGCAAATCGATTTGAAATTTTTGGTGTATGATGTTGATTTCGGTTTCTAAAGTTGAGGAAATAGGAATTGGGTCCGTGAGAAAAATAACCGGGATAAGAATCTTACCTGGTAAAAGAAAGTTATTTTTATCCCAGTTATTTTGTCTTGCTCTTACTTAGTAAGATTTTTGTTACTTACCATATTCATCCGGTAAGGTAATGTGACTTGATGTCCACTTATCCGATTAAACGTTTGGTAAACGACCCCTGAATCTAAGAATTGAAATCTCGGTGTTCTGAAAAGGCTTGTTTTCAAAAACTAAGGGCTCGTTTAATAAACGGTTACGGGGTAAGACTCCAGCTCCTTGTGTGTTATTACCAGGTAAGATTTTCGGTTTTTGCTATGCTCACCTGGTAAGGTAAAACGCTTATCCGATAAGTATTTGGCGAACGACTTTTATGTCATCCTTCTGAACTGTAACATATTCTTCTGAATCCCGGCTGACATCCGACCATCCCGAGTTCTAGTCATCTTTATTTATTTATTAATCCAATTACATAAAACATTCTGATGATTCATCAAAATCACCAACATCTCAGAGCATCTCCAAAAGATTCTTTAAAATAGAGAACATAGTTTTTGTTCTCTATGTTGCCCTGACAGATTTCTTATTGTTTTTTGAAATAGAGAAATGTTATTTATTGATTAGTTTTTATGGACAAACTGCATGAAAAAGTAACGTACTTTAACTTGATTTCAATTTCTGTTAACGTATTTTCAAAGATTTCATTTTGGTACATAAGATGTAAAGTTTTAAACATTTAAGTATCCGGGTAACCGGTTTAAGCATTAACCAGTTACCATGCTGATGTGGCTAGTGATGAGATGAAATTGGGTTGAGTAGTAAATACTCCTGAGTTGGATACTACATCACTCGTCACACCAGCATGGTAACCGGTTAATGCTTCAACCTATTACCCGAGTACTTAAATGTTTAAAACTTTACATCTTATATACCAAAATAGAAGTTTTGAAAATACGTTACCAGAAATAGAAATCAAGTTAAAGTACGTTCTTTTTTCATGCAATTTGTCATTTTTTTATATAAAGTTTGTTTTAAATGTAAGGCGATGATAAAATTATAAATTATTTTATTCAGTATAACTGATGTTCAATTTTTCTAAAATAAAGAATTTATTGGAGTTGAATATAATTTTCTTTATGATTTTGACTTTTGGTTCTCTAATTTAGAGAAATTACAGAGAATCTGTTGGATATAGTCGTTAGTTAATAATTTCTTGCAGAATCAAGGGCGATTACCAAGTACGTAGCAGAGGCGTACGCCGATAAGGGGACTGATATGACAAATAACGAACCGAAGAAATTGGCGATACAAATGGTGTGGATGGAAGTCGAAAGTCAGAAATTCGAGCCGGCATCCGCGAGGCTCGTTTGGGAGCTAGCATTGAAACCGATTCTCGGGCTGGAAACCGATGACGGCGTGGTGCCGGAGTTCGAAGAGAAGCTGACACAAGTGCTCGACGTTTACGAACAACGGCTGACGGAAAGCAAGTATTTGGGCGGAGATATCTTCACGTTGGCCGATCTCCACCACCTTCCAAACGTTCATTATTTGATGGGAACGAAGGCGAAGAGCTTGTTTCACGCGCGGCCACATGTCAGCGCGTGGGCATCTGATATCCTTTCTAGGCCTGCTTGGGTCAAAGTCGCTTCCATGCTAGCTCAACTAGCAAATAAACACATATTTTGATAGAGTTTAAGAGTTTTTTAGGGGTCGTTTACTAAACGCTTACCTGGATAAACGTTTATTAAGTCACATTTTCTGACTGGATGAATATGGTAAGGTTCAAGAATCTTACCCGGTAAGAGCGAGACAAAGACCAAAAGTCTTATCCGGTAAGTAAGTGCGACGACTCTTACCACGGTTAGTGCTTACCGGGTAAATTGTTGCATACAATGCCGTTTTAGTAGACTAAAATCTTAGCTTGTAAGTGTTGAATTTTACCAGTAAATTATTACCGGGTAAGTGTTTTAGTAAACGACCCCTTAATTGTTAGTGCTTTATTTTAATTGAGCATCTATAGTTGTTCAAGTGTAATTGGATTAAATAAATGATTTGTACATAATTTCACAATGTTTTTCTTATGTTTTTTTCATCAAATTTTATGGATTTGGTGTTATCCGTTGGAGATGCTCTAAGAGAATGAATATGACGATGAAGGATCAGAAGAAGACGGTGATACACTCGGTTTGGATGAAAGTGAAAGGTTAGAAATTCGATATACAATCTTCGAGGCAGGAAGCCAACAAGTTCGTAGTGGCAGAGTTCGAGTCGAGGCCGACAGATGTGCTTGATGTTTACAAATCACCATTTAGAGGTGATCATTTGCCTGGGTCCGGGCCGGGCCTAACTTGTTTTTTTGTCTAACGAGCTTAATATTGTAAACCCAAGCCCCTTTTTTTGGGCTTGACAACTTGCCATTGTCCGTCCTATAAACGGGTCGGGTTTGTCCATGGACTAACGAGCCTAAAAATTATACCTCTTATAAATCTATAAATTTGATCACTAGCAATTGATTAACAAACGTGAAACCAAAAATCAAAGAAAAAACACCGTTGCAATTAAAATTTTAAGCAACTAAAGTGACACATGGATCTCAACAAGTGGAGAAAGAAATGAAAAACAAAATTAAGACTTTTATAAACAAACAACCCCTTAGCCTTTTGGGTTCTGAGTCCCATCTTATAACTTTAATATTTAAGTTTACAATATACTAGTATAATTTTAATTAATGGTAAAAAAAATATTAATTACAAAATATAAACGGGTTGGACGGGCATGTCCATATTTATTTTCATATTGTCCATATCCGCTGTTAATTTTAGAGAACAAACCCAGACTCGTCCATTTTCTGTTTGGTTTCTGTTAATCTTTTACTATTTCAGTTAAATCAGATAGCAAATTATAGCACAATTTTATACCGAGAACAATTAAGATATGATTAAATATCCCTCTTTGCAAATTTCCGGCAATAATTTTTGGTGCAACTAAAATGTCATTGTAAAACCCAATACAATATTACGTAAACAGTTCTAAATACACTACTTGTATAAACTCGTTTAATCATAGATGTACAAGTCTCGTATAGTTTTAAAGGGCAAATTACATGAAAAAATAACGTACTTTAACTTGATTCCTATTTTGTGTAACACACTTTCAAAACTTCAATTTTGATACATAAGATATAAAGTTTTAAGCATTTATGTACTTGGGTAACCGGTTGAAGACTAATTTTAGATTAAAAAAAACTAAATTTTAGATTAAAAAAAATTCATGTCGCTAACCAGTAACCACATTAGCAAATGATACTGAGCTGGATACCACATCACTCGCCACATCAGCATGATAACCAGTTAATGGTTCAACCAATTACCCGGATACTTAAACATTTAAAATTTTACATCTTAGGTACCAAAATGAAAGTTTTTAAAATACCGAAATACGTTACCCAGGATAGGAGTCATGTTAAAGTACGTTACTTTTTCATGCAATTTGCCCTTTCAAAACTGTAAAATAACTTCTTGATTATATCTTAATCTTGATTTTTAAATTTGGTTCCAAGGGTTAAAAGTGTCTGGAAGTCTCATGTTCAAATCCAAGAAGTAATAAGAATCCCCTTGTGACCACAAAGGTTCAAATGCAATAATTCTAAACTACCCACAAAGCAGATGATCGTTCTAAGATTAGTCGGCTTACATAACATAATAGATATCTAGGTTAATAGAAAAAACCTATGTTAGAGTTTAAAATATAAAAAAATATAAAAAATAATATGACGTCAAGATGACGGAAGCAGTCACATACGTAATCAATGATGTCGTTGTCGGAATCGGATCTTTTAGGATCCGAATAGTCTTAACGCGTGGTCGTCGCGGTTATAAAACCTTCCAAATAAAAAATTTATCTTATTTAGAGTAAATTACACATTTAGTCCCTATAATTGTCACTCAATAGCAAGTTTAATCCTTGTCTTAAATTAATTACATATTTTATCACAATATTTAAAATGTAATTTATTCTTTTATTTATAAAGGTGACCTTTTCTTGAATGCCTTGAAAATCAATATATAATGCAGTATTTTATATTTCTTTTTATTTGTGGCTAAAATTTAATGTAATAATTAATATATACTTCTATTTATTTAACTATTTGTTTTATATATATATATATATAGGTCGGTTATTATACAATCATTTACATTTATACAATCAATACAATTCAATCTTAACCATTCATTTAATTTGATAAATATATGATTTCATATAAGTTTTGATTGTTTGATAATATAAAGTATTGATCATAATTAATGAATCATATTCATCTTCCATAAATACTTAAATTATAATAAATAAACTCTCATCATTTCTATAAATATCTCAATTAATTAGGTTGAATTGGTTGTACAAATAAACATGCTTGCATTTGAAATATACCCCATACACATACACACACACACACACACACATATATATATATATATATATATTCTTTTCATAAAGTGAAATTATTTTATGTGAGTTTTTTTTATCTTACAAACATTTTAAACGAGTTCACATTGTGAATTAATTACATGTGAACCGAAAACATTATGAAACAAATATATATTAATAATGTAAAACAAAATCTTAAAAAAGATTTTTTCACGAATCTCATGGATTTTTTAGTTCTTAGTGATTAAACACCTAAAAAATGGTATTATTTAAAAATAAATTAACCAAAATAGCTAATCTTTTAAATCAAATTCACTTTTTAGTCATTTTTCAATCGAGGTTCAATTTTAGCCAGATGCTACAAAACATTTGCATATAATTGATTTACAAATTTTAAAAAAATAAAGAATATTGTGTGAATATATATATATATATATATTTTTTGATTAACCTGGATATCGAACCCGCTATGCGAGCCGACTAATATCAGGACAACCACTTGCTTTGCAGATAGTCAGAGTCACCGCATTTGAACCTCCGTGACCGCATGTGAATTTTTATTCCTCATTAGATTTGAACCTAAGACCTCCTGTTACTTTTGACCTTGAAGCCAAGCTCAAACAAATCAAGCACCACCCTTGTGGATTTCTTTTTTAATCCGAAAATAGATTCTACACAAATACATATAGCATTTTCTCAAACTCTGACTCAAACAGAAATTCGATTTTTAAAATTAGGGATGATTAAAAACCCAACTAACTATATTCAACCTGAAGCAATCCAATATCCAATCGAGTTGTAAAATTTTCAAACCATAGGTTTTGGTATGATATTATATTACTTTCATTTGAATCCAACCAGTGAACCCAGTATCATTTTATTTCTTAGATTTAATATGAATGTTGAGTCCTTATTAAAATGTACATTATACAATTCCATCATCAAGTATCCTATTCATATACACATATTTTCAATCAAATTTACATCTTTATATAATTCTTATGCATATATGTTTAGTAACTAGTCATAGGTTATTTTAAGAAGTGGTAAATATTTGGAAAGTAAAGAAGTAATCATAGCCTTTCGTCTAGTCAATATCATATCTTAATGGTCAAAAATTACTACTTTAACTGGTCAACATTTGCAGCCATGTAAAAAATAGAGGTGTAATTTCGAAACTTTTATAAATAAGCGGCAAACGAGTTTGTATGTGAATCTGTGTGATTCACATTTGAACTATATGTTCATATGTGAACCCCTATAATTGATATATGAACTATTTTAACTGATTTACATATAAACTCGTGTGATTCACATATAAACTAATTAACCGACTCACTGAGCCTTTGTGATACACATGAACTAATTAACTTGCCGCCTATTTATAAAAGTTACAAAACTACTTCTCTATTTCCCGCATACCCATGTGATGAATTATTCTGTGTTTCACAGTCAAATACGTAAATGTTGCCCATATGAAATATTAGGATCACTTTTTTACTTTTCAAATATTTACCACTACTTAAGTAAACCTTTTACTCCGATAAATATGAACATACATACATACATACATACATACATACACACTTGCCATCATTTGAGACCAGATTATTTTCGTGAGACCATTTTTGTACACTTTAAATTTTACAACAAAACACTATGAAGTTAACTTTCATTTTGTTTTTGCTATGAATGTTCAAATTTTTTTACCTTCACAATTTTTTGCTATGAAGTATCAAATGTAAAATTTTTGTCTCACGAGTTTCACGAGAACATGTTGGTCTCACGTGAACTCAATCATATATATATATATAGACTTTGGATCATGTGAGACCAAGTGTTTTTCTTGAGACTCGTAAGACCAATTCTCAACTCTTGGATTAGATCTATAATGTGAACATTCATAATCACAAAATTGCCACGAGACTTCTCAATAATCACAAAATTGCCACCGCACAACTTTAAACCATTAGCTTATAAAGTTGATCAATGAACATATATATATATATAGTTGGGTTCTAGTGAGAAGGAGAGTAAAGATGAGAAACATAAGCTAAGATCTCTATGCTTGGGAGATGCACCGAGATGATGCACTGAGATGAATAAGTTGTATAAAATGGTTGATGATGAAAAACAAGTTATACATACACTAGAGAAACCAACATATTCAAGATTAGCAGGATATTTTGATGTAGTATCAACCCGACCAACTCATATAATTTGGATTAAAGTGAATTGAGATTTTTGAAACGTAACTATTAAATTGGTTGTTTAATTCCTTAAAAAAAAGGGAAAAGTACAATAAAAACCAATGAGCTTTCTTGTTTGGAATGATTAAGTCTTTGAACTTTTTTTTGGAACAAATAAGTCCTTGAACTTTCCAAAACATGTTAAATAAGTCATTGGACAATTTTTTGGCACAAATAAGTCTTTGGACATTCTAAAATATGTTAAATAAGTCCTTAGACATTCCAAAAAATGTTAAATAAGTCCTTGGACATTCTAAAATATGTTTAATAAGTCCTTAGACATTCCAAAAAATGTTAAATAAGTCCTTAGACATTCCAAAAAATGTTAAATAAGTCCTTGGACAATTTTTGGAACAAATAAGTCYWTGAACAATCCAAAACATGTTAAATAACTTCTTDAACTTTTATAGAACATGTTGGATACATTCTCATGACTTGTACAACTAGTTAAAATGGTAATTATTTTTTTGTAAATGTAAGTACTTTTTTTTATATTTGTTTAATTTTATAAATCTAAATACTTTTTGGTTCAAAAAATATTTAGGGGCTTAATCGTTCAAAATATGAATGTTTATTGGGTTTTTTTCCGGATTTTTTTCACTATTTTACCACTTTATTTTTTTCAAAAAGTTATTTAACATGTTTTGGATTGTTCAAGAACTTATTTGTTCAAAAAATTGTCCAAGGACTTATTTAACATTTTTTGGAATGTCCGAGGACTTATTTGTTTCAAAAATTGTTCAAGGACTTATTTAACATATTTTAGAATGTTCAAGGACTTATTTAACATGTTTTGAAAAGTCCAAGGACTTATTTGTTCCAAAAAAAAGTTCAAGGACTTAATCATTCAAAACAAAAAAGTTCATTGATTTTTATTGTACTTTTCCTTAAAAAAAAAAAAAAAAAAAAAAAATTAACAAAAAAGTGAATGTGATCGAAAAGATGGTATTAATTTAATCAATTTTCCGTTGTTTAAATCCTAAAAGAAAAAGTCAGAAGATTTTACATTCACACCACCCACCGCCACTCCACCATCGCCGACTTCTATTATATATATTCCACTTTGCTTCCCATCTTTCAAACATCCATTACCTGCTTCCATCTCCATCTTCTTCAATCTCTCACCATTTCCTTCCAAACAGTAACTACTACAATGGCCCTCAAGTTGCACGGACTCGTTGGTTCAAACGCAACCTTTCGATCTATGGTTGCTCTCATCGAAAAGGATCTCGACTTCGAATTCGTTCCCGTCGACTTTGCCAGCCGTGAACACAAAACTCCTCAGTTCCTTGCTCGCAACGTACTATTTCACTTCTCGTTTATATATCTCTGATTCGCTTGAAATTTCTCTATATTTGATATGCATTTGTATAATATGCAGCCATTCGGTCAAGTTCCAGCGTTTGAAGATGGCGATCTCAAATTATTCGGTAATAACACACAAATTCCAGCTTAATTTTGCGATTTTATTTGAAATTTTGTGGTGAATGCTATTGCTAATCACGAATTCCAGCTTATTTTTGCCACTTGACTTGAAATTTTTGGTGTACGCTATTGCTGCTGGTACACCAACTTATTTTTGCGTGTCGATTTGAAATTTTCGGTGTATGCTATTGCTAATAATACACAAATTCCAGTTTATTTTTGCGAGTTGTTTTGAAAACTTTCGTGTATGTTATCGCTAGCTGTCTGTTTCGTTATCTAGGGATCAGTTTTTAGTTATTTGTTGCAGAATCAAGAGCGATTACCAAGTACGTAGCAGAGGTTTACGCCAATAAAGGAACGAATCTGACATTTAGCGATCCAAAGAAGTTGGCGATACAAACGGTGTGGATGGAAGTCGAAGGTCAGAAGTTCGATCCGGCATCGGCGAAGCTGGTTTGGGAGCTAGCCTTGAAGCCGATATTTGGTCAAAAAACCGACGACGCCGTGGTGGCGGAGTTCGAAGGAAAGCTGGCTCAGGTGCTCGATGTATATGAAAACAGGCTGACGGAGAGCAAGTATTTGGGCGGAGATATCTTCACGCTGGCGGATCTCCACCACCTTCCGAACATACATTACTTGATGGGAACGAAGGTGAAGAGTTTGTTTCACGCGCGGCCGCATGTCGGCGCGTGGTGTGATGATATCCTTTCGAGGCCTGCTTGGTTGAAAGTTGTTGACCTGCTTCCCAAGTGATAAAGGGTTGATTCCAATGGCTTTATGAATTGTACGTTGTGCTTTGATTGTTGTACTTTTTGCTTGTTTTAGTAAGTCAATGGGTGTTATTGAGCAGCTATCGCTGTTCAACTGCAATTTTATTTGATGAATAATTTATATCGTTTTCACTGGATTTTTTATTATTAATTTTCGAGATTAAGTGGGAATTTGATTAAAATAAATTTCTTCTTTCGGGACCATTTATCAAACGTTTGTTTGGATAAGTGTTTACGAGTAAAATTCAATACTATCATTTATTTGCTTTGGTAAAATTAAATGGTATCGTATATAACAATTTACCCGATAAACGTTAACTGTGGTAAAACTCGTCAACCTCATTTATCGTATAAGACTTTTGGTCCTTGTTTTGACTCTTACTAGAGAAGATTCCGGGTTTTTGCCACATTCATACGATAACGTAATATGACCTGGTAAGCATTTATTTGGGTAAGCGTTTAGTAAACAACCCCTTAGACCTTAATCACTTTTGGCATCGACTGTATTTGTGTAAAACCTATTTTCAGATCAGAAATATTAAATTCTTAATGCAAATGGGGATACTATGCAATTCTTTTCGCAAATGGGTAACCTTATGCAAATTTTTATAAAGATCTATTTTTAGTCAGAAAATAGGTTTTACGTAAATGCATAAGATATTTGCATAAACTTTGGCTAAAATGAGAATTTGATTGAAAAAATAGCTAAAAAATAAATCTGGTCGAAAAGATTGACTATTTTGGTCAATTTCCCACGTTAGATATTTATGGATTTGTACTTCAAAAAATTGCAACAACACAACATTAATTTTTTGGGGCGATTTTGCATCACTATACAAGATGAGCGACCAACAGTCTGTCCTCCGTTTTGCTTGGTCCAAAATGGTATTTACTTTTAGTAGCTTGGTCTGATACGGTTCAAGATCAATAACAGGCCAAGGAGCGAAGAAGGTCGACTGATGGAAGTCATCGGAGCGAACTTGATCAAAGGAGGATTGGGTCGGGTGGGATCCAATAGCCACCACCCCGAAAACAACATAAGACAAGGTGGACTCGGGATCAAGGGGGAGGAGGGATCGATAGAAAGGATTTATTCTTGTCTTCTTTGGATCGACGTGGTGTAGTGGAACTAGATGAAGGGACTGTGTTCGTAGTTTTTGTGGTCGACATTTACACCCACTTCTATTGAACTTAGTGGAACAGTAATGGTGGCTTTTGTTTCTTCTTAGTATTGTATAAACAGTTCAGTAATAAATAATTCCTGAAGTATCTACAAAAGTTTGACTCTTTGTTTGAAAGTGAAAAATCATGGTCTATGCTTATTTGTCAAAATAGATGTAGAATTTGCAAATCTTCGTACATAATCTTAGGAATCTTTCATTTTAAGGATGGTTAAATGGGAAAGAATCGTGTGAAAAGAGAAGTTTTTGTAAGACGCGTAAGAAGAGATATAAACCCTTGATCACTTTTAATCTTATGCCTGCTCATAAATTTCATTTTAGAAGAGAACTGATCTGGTATATCTCAGTACATCTCATTAGTGTTGATATTCTGTTATGATTGATCAAATAATGGAAATCTCTTTTAAGCTTCTCACTGGAACCTAACCCTGATTAAATATGATAAAAAGTTAAATAATTCAAGTCAATTTAAATCAGAATTAAACTAAATTTCTTTTACCAACTTCAAGGTTGAATTGACATTTTCTTAATAAATTATCAAAAATAATTGATGGTGTTTAGGTAGTCATTCATCAATCAAATATTTAAATGGATATCTAATCTTAATTTAATATTATCAAATCTAAAATTCCAATATTTAAATTGGAGTATATTGGAGTAGGTTGTTGATGAATAAGAATGGTGATTTACCCCAATTCGGTGGGGACCCGGCTCACCCAACTCGAACGGGGTTTTTCGGGGCCGGGGATCCCCGATAGGCTCAAACATGGGCCGGGAGTTGTTACTCAAACCGGGGTCGGGGCCAGGGATCTCACGTAGACTCAAATTAACATATATTCTTCATGGGTTTGACCGGAAACGAGATGTTAATCCCCATACGCGCCGAGTACCAGGGCCGGGGGCTGTCACTAAAAACCATGGCGGGGGCCGGGGATTACAAAACCCGCCCCATTTCCTTCCCGTTGCCATGCCTATTGATGGATGACTGTTAATTTAAAAAAAAAAACCGAGTCAATACAATCCAATAAACTGTTAAAGATTCATTAAAAACCAGTATAATTTAACCAAATTACCAAGTATCATACGAGTATCAAAGATAAATAATTAATTTTATGTGCTAATTCTATTTGGTATTTTGGTACACCATACTTGATTCTCCCCTTATGATTTATATTTATAAATTATACTGATTAATCGATTTATATAAATATTAATCCGTTAAAATATTGAGATAATCAGTTCCAGGTATTAGACGGGTTCAATTTGACCCGAAGCTAACAAATAGTAACTATCCATTTGACTGATTTTTGTTCGATCCTCTATATTTAATTGAAATGAACTGATTTTTGTCCAAATTAGTAAAGAAATAAATAGCATTTTATACAATAATTGAAAATGTATTTGTTAATGGAAAAAGAAAAGTTAAGCCAGCTTAAAAGTATTACTCCCATCCCACCCATAAAGAAATTATCTTGAAACACGAAAGGCTAAATTATTTGTCTCCATAGCAATATTTTAATCATGCTTACAATATTTAATTTCAACATGCTTCTAAAGTAATATAGAGAGATGAGTGATTAAATGCAAACCATTTATATTTATATAAATCGTGCAAACTATTTTTATTCGTTGATTTTATTGTTTAATATTATAAAAAAAACCATGAAATTGTTTAATCATATGAAATTGTTTCATATAATACTTTTTTTTAATGAAATTGTTTCATAAAATACTTATGAAATTTTAATAAAAATGTTTCATGTATTTCTTTAAAATTAATATAATGAAGATGATAATATCCATGATTAACACCCTCCACAATAAAAATGATCAATCAACCTCTCATAATTACAAAAAAAAAATAAACAAAATGAAAAATTATGATTGGTTGAATGAGGTTTGTACGGTTTGTACAAATAACGTGGTTTGCAAAGTAAATATCTTCTCTCTCTCTCTCTCTCCACACACACACACACACACACACACATATATATATATATATATATACTATATTATAAAGCATTTGACAAAAACTCTTAAAAACCATTTTTTATGCACGAAGTACTGTTTATTGATGCATATTACTTAAAATTTAAGATTACATGTAAATTGTGCATTGATACAACTTATTAAAGCTCCATATTTAAATTCGTATAACTAACTGCAGATAAACATAATCAAATATATTGGATAAATATCTCATTTTAAATATAAAAAATCTAAAATATAATTAGAATAATCATTAAGTTCTAAAAAAATACTTAGTTATTATCTTTATAAAAAATTATATTATTAAACCTAAATTAAATTATAATTAAAAAATTGAATTAAGGAAAGTACTCCAAAACACAATAGCTTTTAAAAATATTAATTTGATACTGATATCGATATATATATTTTTAAATTTTGTGATATTTTCATATTTATATTTTATTCAAAAATAAAAACATTATCGCTTTTTCAAAACCACATAAACCGTATTATATCGACATAAAAAAAGAATAAAAACGAAACACTGAAATCAAGATGTGTCTCGATGCATTGCACGAGTACCCTTCTAGTGTATATATATATATATATGTGTGTGTGTGTGTGTGTGTGTATATATATACTTGGGATCACGTGAAACCAGTCTATTTTCGTGAGACATGTAAAACCATTTCGTTACACTTGAAACTTCACAGATAAATGTTGATAAAAAAGACCGATTCTTCACAGCAAAACAGAGTGAAGGTTAGTTCACAACGTTTTGCTATGAAGTTTTAAGTGTAAAAAAGTAGTCTCGCATCTCACGTGAACTCAACCCTATAAATATTAATTCTTAATTATTTTCCGGCAGATTTCTAGCGATCTTGATTTTTAAAAAATAATTAAATATCCGCCGGTAAATTATTGTAATGAGATTTAAATACAAGCCTGAAATAATTAATTACGAATTCCGCCGGAAACATTATCAAGATAATTTTACCGGCGGATTTTCGACGAATCTTAATTTTTAAAAAATAATTAAATATCCGCCGGTAAATTATTGTAATTAGATTTAAATACAAGTCTAAATAATTAATTACAAATTCCGCTAGAAATCCACCGGAAATATTATCAGAATAATTTTACTGGCGGATTTCCGGCGAAAGTCAACATAAGTTGACTTTTTGTTGTCCCACGAAAATCCATCGGTATATTTCCGTCCGCCGGAAAACTCGTAGGAAATACTCATTATTCTAGTAGTGTTTATATATATATATATATATATATATATATATATATATATAAAGTTGTTAATAAGAAAATCAAATATATTATAGATTATATACATATATACGCCGTATGTATGTATTTAGAGAAATTTATACAAATAAAAATTATTTTTTAATATATAATTAAATATATAAATGAAATAATAATAATAATCTTGATAAATGAATTATATACACATTTTTTTATAGCTTTAACTTATACAAAGGCTAATAGTAAACAAATTGACCCATAGTCAAATAGCATCAAATGTGAATTCGTTAGAATTAAATTCTACCAACCAACACCTTGGAATTATTTGTATCTATTAAAATAAATAAAAAAAATCAACATGTTTCCAACTTATTGGAGCGGTTTATATTTTATATATTTTAAACGTGAATCTCTTTGCTTTAATCCACGATTATGAATAACGGGTCAGATCTAAAAAACCGTGTGTTTTATTGTTTAATATGATGAAATTGTTTTATATATTTTTGTCTATGGAAAAATAAAATTGTTTAATGTAATTTTCTTGTATTGATGACATTTATGTTATATATACTTTATTATCAATCATCATATATTTCTTGATGAAATTGTTTCATATATTGTTGACTAATCAACCATCGTAATTAAGAAAAAGTGAAAAATATTATTGGTTGAATGAAGTTTGTACGGTTTGTCAGATTTATACGATTTGCAATATATATATATATATATATATAT